AAACATTTCTTCAAATGGCTAAAATACATTATGTTTTGATCAAATTTGAAGTCCTAATGATAAAGATACAATAAATATGCATAACTGAATGCACATTGTGCATGTATAATCTATACTCATGCAGAAAAATGCTTTTGATATGCTCTTTAGAACTGCGCAACTACAGAATTCAGCAGAGCCTTAAAAAATCCAAAAAAATATGCAAAGCGTGCATTAATGTTCTCTCTACAACCATTTGTCAAGAAAATGTCTAAATTTTGCACTTTTCAATGGTAATTTCAAGTTCAAAACATGGTACTGTTGTCTTCAAAATGAGTGTAAAAAACCATGAAAGTAGTTCATGGATAACAGCACGTGGTCTATTTTTAGCACAGAATTTTGTTTTCCAGACCTCTTCTTAATACGGAGGCACATAATAATCTTAAAAAGTAGAGGAGAATTACAGTTGCAAAATGTTTCAAATGATAAGCACACTTTTAAAAGAGGAAATGTGTTATAGTGTGGCTTAAAGTAATTAGTATTATTATCGAACAGTTGTTAAATACTTGTTGGTATAAAAAAAAATTCTTAAACTCTTTGATTCCAGATAAGGAAAAATGAGCGCCATCAAATTTAAAAAGTCTGCCACAGATAACTTATTTTATCTTTCAAATGAAACACAGAGAAAATTGGACCGGTCGGCATAGGATGCTCACTCCTCCATAGCACCTGATCCCACCTCTGATGTTTCGGGGTCCGTGTTTGCTCTGTTCTTATTTTGTATTGTTTTTTTGGACTTTGAGACTGAATACTGTTTGTTATCTCCCTATATTCCTTCTAAACACAAAATCGATATGAATGACCTTGTTTTAATACCTACTAGTATACTGTGTCAGAAAAACATTTACAAATACAAATTTCTTCACATGCATCGAAGTACCATTTGAATAGGAATGAAATCATTCAGCGTGGGTTAGGAGATTTACTGAATGAAAAATACCTTTTTTTCTATTTGCCCATATTGTCAAAATTACAATTTTACAGAGTAAAGAAAAAATCAACATGATTAATTATTTTAGACCATCTTTAAAATGACGTTTGGTGGTCCTCCCAACTCAGACAAAAATTATTGGGTCCGTATTTATAGGTGAGAAAAAAACTTCCTCAAAATTTAAACATATTTGTTGACGAAAAAAAGGATAAAAAATATCATGGAATGTAAAAAAAAAATTGAGTCGGGTCATTTCTGGAAGTAGGTTGGGAGAAAGGGCAACCAAATATTTTTATAAAACGTGGTCTTAACAATATAAGGCTATAGTACATGTTCCATCACATACTTAGTAATGCAAAATTTCTGAGCATTGGCACTATTCAGAAAAACAAACCGTCATAGAGTTTTGGGGGGGGGGGGGGGGTTAGCCTCTCACGCTTTTTTTTTGCGAAGATAGACATAGCATAATGCAATGGACCTTTCTTTGCAAACATTGTGCTCGCTTCTAAATTTCAAAGAAACAACTCAGTGTATTTTCCCAAACTTCGTATGTTAGTGAGAGCTTACAACATGGTCAGCATAATGAGACGTGATGTGTTTTTTTGTCCAAACATTACTCCATACAATGTGTGGGTCATCGCAAACAATCTAGCTATTTATGTGAGGTGTCTGAAGGAAATCCTATAACTGACTATTTTTTCTATCTAACTGCTAAAAAACATTGACAGGTGTACCAACTTTTCGAATGTAATACATTTAATTACAATTTGTTTTTCATGCACAGTATATCGTTTAACATTTTTAAATTAAAAGCTAAGCATCCTCCTTGCAGAGCCCCATTTGAAAATAACTTCTATCGCCAAAGAAAAGAGACCGGCCGTAAACACATATGTTTAGGACATTTTTAATCTTTTTTCTTTAGTTTTGGAGAAACCAACAAATTATCAAGACTTGTTCCATGAAAAATTAAATATAATCATGGTAATAAACGAATCTATTCACATTAGATATATGCACATGCCAACCACGTGCTCAGTGGAATAATATGAGCGAGGAAACTCGAGCTTTAAACAGAACAGTTTTTCCCGATTTGCTGGTTTGGGGTTAAAATTGCATATTTTCATTAATCAGACGGTGCGATGCAACAAATAAAAGTAGTAAGTTATATAACCTTAGGATTATTACTTAGTAATTTCTTGTTTTGATGTTGTTATGGACGCATTTATTCTAAATTCAATGTTTTTTTTAACTCTGTGTGACAGAGGAATGGCGGACGCAATAAACATATGACCTCAAGAAGACCCCCATATGAAAAATGAAATTTACAAGAATTATGGATAATAACAAGAAAAAAGCGAAACAAATGGTTGTAGCCATATTATCAATGAACCGAACTGACATCATTTTCGATGCATTTATCATCTCAAGAATGCTGTAGCTGCGCAGTTCTAACCTGATTAATTTCCTCCTAATTAAAACAAAATAAACTCAATTATTTACTAATTTTGGTCTCTAACAGTAGGTTATGAGTACATTAGCACTTTGAGTAACTTTGAGCTAGTTTGGTAGAGTATTAAGAGTATTCTTGGTATTTCTTATTTTACACATGACTCGATCAAATATGGCTTGTACATCCCCCTTAAAGAAGAAATTTATTGACCAACAAGTTGTTGAAATAAGGAAATCAACATGCAATCTCGTTTAAAGTCCTGATTTAGCATTAGCAAATTCTATGGTCAATGTAATAACCGAATTGTCAGCAAATACAACATGTCATGAAATCAAATGCTGACTGACGTTTTTCATACTAACTGTCAGGGTACTTACAAACTGATTGTAAACGTTATTTCCCGATCATAACAAGGAGCACACGGCAATTGTGACTGGTCAGCAGGGAAAGCTCACTTCTCCATGGCACTCTATCCCACCTCTGGTAATAATTTATAGGTCCGTGTTTGCTCTCTTCCTGATTTGTTTTCATTTTTTTATAGGCATCTAGGCTTGATTGAGAAGCGAAGTATCTTTTTCGTATCAACACCTACTGCAACAGGGAACCTCGATTTGAAAGGTCTAATGCGAAGGAGCAGTCCCGCCGTGGGATTCAAACCCACGACGTATGTATCAACTCCTTACTCCAGAACTCTATCAAGCAAAAGCTACTACGCCATGCGGGCATTTCCTGCAAAAAGAACAGGGAATGTAACTGCTCTCAGGATGATTTAACAACGGGAACAAAACGTCAGACCAATGAGAACTATTAAAACAGCACAGGAAAAAATTCAGAGAAATTTTAACAAAGAGGACCAAAACAGTAAATAGCATTCGTCCCCGAGAAAGTTAAACGATAAGGACTGTAACGGCATAGCATGAGCCCAATGAGAACGTAAAAACGACGGGGAGTCAAAGCGTTTAACCATGTATCATAGAGAAAGAAACAGGGTCTGAAAAAGTCAGATTATGTATTCAATTAACTTGGACAAAAATAACACGGTATACTTCTTGTAGAAAGTAAAACAAGGGGACAAGAAAGACGAAGCGAGTGGATCATAAGGTAGGTAAAATAAAGATGAACGTTCACGTGGACCAAACCGCATGCAAGGCACGGATCCAAGCGTAATTTGAACCTGAGCATCGAGGACCTATACTAAGTATTACCCGAGTGCAGTACACATCAGAATTTCTAACTGGAATCAAATCGAAATGAATTATTCAGCATTTAAAGATATATTTGTTTGGTTAACCATCTTCTTAATAAGTAGAGCAATTTTTAAACCATTCATTGACTGGCGATCTGTAAAGTATACCAGATCTATTGTTTTGCTGCAGCTAACTGTTCTAGTAACCCATTATCAGCAGACATCGAATAATCAACGATTGCCATCATTAAGATTTTATTTAATGCAATTGAAAACTTATAACGAATATTAAAGATCCCTTATGTGCCCCCTGAATCACAAATGGTCTGAGTGGTCAAAAATTTTCATATAGTCTGAAAGAGAGATCGGCATTATTTACCTTAAAGTTTAAAATTTGACCCATAATTGCAGTAAAGTGTACATAAAAATGACACATAGGTAGGTCACCTAAAACTAAAGCCACCGCGTCTACTTATTCTATTATTATAAATGTGCAGTGAATTGGAAAATCTAATTAAGAAAAGTAGAGTAGTTAGGAATACACCACAGACTTGCTGATTCGAATAGTGCAATGGTCTAAGTATGAATTAAAAATCTGCCATTTTAAGTCTGTTGTCACTAGTTTGGGACCTCCTTTTCTGTTAGGAACAAAAATGTTAAAATTTGACATTAAGAATTTGAATTGACTTTAAATGATAAATAATATATATAATAAATTCATTTTTCAATTTTTGATCTTCGGGAGTTTGACAATATATTTGCTTTTTAAATTTTGTTATATATTTTTTTTAGATAGGTCACCCATCACGTTGTATGAATCCCGTTAGGCGTCTTTCCTCACTGCCATTCTTGATAAAATCATGAAATGTGATTATAAGTAATAAACAACGATTATTCAGTATTCATGGCGTTGTGACAAGCAGTATCTCTGCTGGTATTTTTTTTCCATTTCAACAGAACAATTGCTTTTATATCAGCACAAAAAAAAAACCCATAATAAAACCTTATCCAATGTTTTGCAAGTAAATACTAGACATGCTGCTAGATTGGGAAGAGTTTAAGTTTTGGTTCTTTATCATCGAAAAACGGTTCAAGTTCCATACTTCAATATATTTTGAATTTTTAAGATATTTTGATAGATGAAGGGAGAATATCAGAAGTATCCCCTCTGATATTTCGCCTTTGCTCCTGTCAGCCTCTGGAATACACTTTTGTGTAATGGAAAATTTGAGTTTTCTGACAAAATTCAGTTACGAATTCAATTGGTAGTTGGACAAAATCTGTTAATTTAACTAGAACAAAGGGAAAGGTAAGATGACTTATTAATTAAGTCGTGTTAACCTTTCCCTTTTTTTCTACCTACACACACCTGGGTAAGATTTTAGGAAAACAAATAACAATAAAGTTTTCTTTATTAGCGGAATTTAACACTTTTCACATCTTCCCTCTCAGTTCTACAAAAGAGAACGTCATTTGATTACAGGGATTTAGTTCAAAATCACAGCAAAAACTTCATCAGCTCCATAATACAGAGCGTCATTGGGATAACAAATTATTGCTGCGAACAAAAAATAGCTCTAATGCCCACCCTAGTAAGCAATAGCTTTTAAGCAATATAGAACAACATCGAAACAAAACAACACAAAAAAATTAAAAATTCAAAAAATAAAGCTGTTTTTGTCTCAATGCTGTATTCAGCACGTCATTGCAAAAACACATAGGTTTAAAAAAAACTGCAAAAAATGTAACATAGATTAAAAAAAAATAAAAATAAAACTTCATCCAGTGCACAAACCCACTCCTAGGTGATTCCAGTCGGCACAATAAAATGTGTGCGTCATTCTGAAATGACCGGGGGGAGAGTGGGCCCATGACTGACATTACGAAGGTCCCGCATCAGTTCATTGATTTATAATGAACATCATTGCTAGGGCCTTCCGATTATTATAATGTGATGATTAATAAACAGCGTGTTTAACACATGGAACTCTTCAATATAGTACAGAATGGTGTCTAAAATTCTGAAAAATAAGTGATTTTAACCCGTCATTCATTTTCAATAGCACATAGATAAAGTTTTTCTTACATTACTGACATTCATTAATTTTTCAGGGGAAAATTGTTATGCATAAAAAGATAGGAATAGGTGGGTACTAACAACAGGTAAAATGGTTTCAAAAAAAATCAGTGACTCACATACAAATCTTATTACTACACTCTAAATTAAAAGAAAATTGTATTATTACAAGTTAAAAAATACATTTCGATACTGCATGCATGATTAAACAATGAATACTTTCGGTATATGACTAGCTTTTGTAGCATTTTATAACAAACAATATAATCCTTTAAAATATTAAATTTTTTTCTACTATACTTTTATCACAGTCTACATTAAAACAGTGTAAAAATGTAGCACAGCTTAAGCATTATTTAAAATATTATTATTAAAATAAATCAACATTGTATATCTATAAATAAAGAATTTGTAACAGGAATAAAACCCTAAAACTAAAGTATATGTATGTAAGATCTACTCCACTTTATTTAATGGTTAACCAAGAGAATTATAACAATGCACTAGAGGTATGCAGACCGTTTACATGGTTTATAGTTATAAAGTCACTCCGCTGGTTAATTGAATATGGTTTTTATCCGTTCATAACGTGCGACAAAAATCCTGTCAGCAGGCACGTTCATCGATCTCTTGCCTTTTTGCGTTGGAAATAGCCTTTTTTGGAGTCATCGGAAGACAATTTTCTGCATGCTATTGATTTAATCAGGTGGCAATGAGAGGGGACCACCATAAGAGGCCCAGGGTTCTAAAATAAGCAGCGCTCTCTCTCTCTTTATCACGTACTTATCTCTGCAGGATTAGGTATGAATAGAATTGTATCAGCTAAGCTACTAGAAAATTCTCGAACATTTCTGTCTGACTACTTTTAAAGAGCTAAAATTAAAAATACAAAACATATACTCTCCGTTTCAAAGTAATGAATCTACCATATATGCATTTAAAAAAGGTATCTACATATTCCTTATAAAAAGTATTTCCCTGAATCACAATATAATAAAAAAAAATCATGTAAAATGAGACATATTCAGCTACATGTAATTTTACATATAGACAGATATTTCCTCTGTGAAATCAATTCATGATAATTCCTGTTTTATAAGTCGTTTTTGCATCAAATGACATTTTAGCACCGATATCAATTCTCTCTTTGGACAGCTAGCTCTCTCCTAAAAATTCTCTTAATTAACATTTCTAATCAAGATATTGTCAAGGTTGTCCTTTTTTCTTCTTCTTTAGGTGTCTTGGTTTATTCATTCTTCCAAGAAAACATTATAACATTGTCTTGTTTCGATCGTTTCCCCACTTATGCTTCAGAATTTTAGACACCATTCACACGTTTTTGGCAAATCATACAACTTTCTTGGCCTCTCTGTAGCGACGTTCGTACTCCGCCAGCGCCTTTGTCTTGATTCCACCCGCTTTCATGAATGGACAGAAAGTGTTAAATAGCTTGTCCCAGTGGTTGAAAAATGGCTGGAAGTTTGTCATTGGCTTCAAGTGGTGCATATCATGCTTAGGGGCACCACCAACCACCCCGAATGGTTCCCAGTTATGGATACAAAAAGGAAACTCGTACCCAATATGTGCCTCCACACTGACAACGATACTTAACAGCATGTAGAACCAGGTCGTCATAGGGTGGCACTTGAGGAACCACGAGTTGGTGGTGGTCAGGAAACCCACGGTGACTAGTTCCCAGGGATGGAGGTACTGAGTTACCCACACAAATGGACTGTTGTAGCGGTGGTGCACAGCGTGGATGTGCTTGTACAGAAAACGCACCTTGTGGTGGGACCAATGCCACACATAGTACTGGAAGTCAAAGATGACCAAACTGGCAATTATGTGCCAGAGAAATTCCGACATGGTGGGAGCAAGGTGTGGAAGCGGGGTGGGCGGGGCCCAGATCCACTGTCCGACGGCGGCAGGGAGGACGAAAAGCACATGATTCCAGAAAGTCAGCTGCAGGGTATCGTAAACTTGTGATAGCGTTACTTTTTTGTCCGTCTGAATCTTGTATTTATGGATCCATGGTAACCGTTCGCCGAGGAGATCGGCAATCATGAATGGGGTACAGAAGGAGAAATAGAACACTACGGAGAGAATAACCGGGAAGAGAGGGGATGCTATGTACTCCTCCCTGCCAATCCGAAAATCCCAAATGTATTGTAGTATCCGGTGGTTGGATTTGGCGGTGTAATTTCCATGTAGGGCACCGCTTAGTAGGTCAGATGTATTCCAGATTCCGCGACCGAGAGCTAAAAGATCTACAAAGCTTCCCGACGACATTTTAAATGTACGAGTCACATTTACAGCTGTTCTTTAACGCTACTCGTGTTTTAAATGAATTTTGTAAATAAGAAACAATAACACAACCCCTCTCTCCCGGTTTTCACGTAGCCGATGGTTTAGATTCGTTGGCTCGACTTCCCTTGATGTTTATTATTGACAAAAATAATCTACGTGGGGGCGCGCGAAGGGGACACGAGCTGCTCTCAAGATAACGAATTATTGAGGAATTTTGTACACATAGAGCAGCGTTACGTGCAACATAGCTGGCTACAAGTGGTCTTCTGAATGAACTTCATTTGAAATCTAATCTTTAAAAAAAATATACACACGAATACGGGGTTTCATTAATCAAGCTAAAGAAGTGGAGCAATATCTGTCTAATATTCCAAGCAACTTAATCTTTGTTCTACATTTGTCAAATTTTAAACGATACATTGTTTTTAAATATTGATTTAACTCTTATCTTCTTACAAATTCAATTTTTCTTATGCCAGCTGTGTCTTCTTCATTAAAAACATTGCATTTTGTCATTGTCAAAGTAAAGACTTTAAAAGTTTTAATATAGCCTAATTAAAACGTGTAAAATGTTCTGGGAAAAAATTAACAGAGAGAGGGGGTTGATATTTAAACAAATATATTTGTTTTTGAAATTGAAGAATTAATTAATTGTGAATTACGAATTAATATCAGTATAGGTTATGTAGTAATCTAGCTCAAAAATAAAACTCCATATATGGTAAGTTTGATTTTTTTTTTCTGAAATACCCTTATAAATACATGATTTTAAAAAATTTAAATGAAATTTTACTTAACATTTACTTGAAACTTAAAGTTTAAAATATTGCCTAAAATGTGATTATATATGATCTAAACTACGCGTGTATTTATCCTGTAAGAAAAATAACAACCCTTTCACAAAGATAACAAATACAAAAAATATATATTAATATATTGACAAATTCCTCTTCATGGTGATTTAGCGTTGAATAGCTTTGAATGGCTCCTTTAATTAAAATGTACATAAATTTATCGATTTTTATATAAATATTTTTTTATTAAAAGAGTTACAATTTGAATTATATCAAGACTCTTTTTTATGCGTGGTTCATATGTATTGGGGATTTATTGTTTAGGTATTAGTTTATTACTTTTCGATCGTCTTTTTAATGTGTACTTTTTTTATGCAAGGATGATATCTGTTCAAATATTTGTTCCTCTACTTTCGTTATAAATATCGTGCAAAATAAACAAATGGATTATTTATTGCCGAGTAAAAACTTGAAACTGAAATAGATTTATAATGCAATTCATAATTGAAACACCTTTTCAGAAAATCAAGTCAATGCTCTATCTTTATTTATAGTGATTGATCTTTATTTATAGTGAATGAAACATAGTTACGAGGAAAATGAAGCAATATTTACCTGTGTGACCTGGGGTCAAACATACCTTGTCCCAATTCCTTCTTATCAGGGTGCACGAGTGAACATAATGGGATCACACCATTCGTCCAAAATTCCAAAGTTTTTGGATAATGAAATGATAACCATGCTCTTACACATGCAAACAAACATGCAGTGAATCACATTTTCGATCATAAATATGTGTATTATATTTGGGATGAAAGATAATTTTCTTACTACGTTGATTTGTTTCGAAAGAAGAAGATAGTCATCCCAGTGATTAATATTAATTATTATATTAGATAATTATGACAAGAATATTGACGTATAGATTGTTAAGGCAACTCTACATATTTTGAATTCAGCTACCTTTTAATATAAAGACATATAATTACATAATAGTGTTGTTGGCTCTATCAATGAATATGTAATTAAAAAAATATTTTTTAAAATTGATTGGTTGTATTATTCGAAAATTGTTCAATCATATATATATGTGATCAGTGTCTGTATAGAATTCAACACCACAACTCTAATTTCTAGAAACTTTGATTACGTGCGGTGGTAGCAATTTTCTATCTCTTTAATGCAAGTTTCACTTTTTGTTTATATAAGTACGTTGGTATATTGTACAATATGTAAATATGGGCGTCATTATCTGCAAAATAGTAATGATATCATAAGGCAACAAGTATAGTTCAAATCAGTCCCCTCTTCTTCTCGACTTTAGTGGACTACATGAGAGAAAATAGTGGTTTAATGAGATTTATTGGAAAGGGCTATCAACATAACATGTATCACCAAACTAAATTGAAAAAAAAAAGTTGAATATAAGGAACAGTGATCGATGGTTAAAAAATCCAATAAACATACAAATTTGTAGACAAGGCATAAAACACGGTTGCCCAGAAGATTTAATTCCAAAGATAGAATCAGGGGCCCGTTTTACAAAAGAACTTACGACTAAGACCAAAAAGTTTAGATGTTTGTAAAATTTTGCAAAATTAACCATTCTCTTTAAAATTGTTTCTGTAAAAATACCACATTCCTTTAAAAAAGTTAAAATAATTTTCGATATAAAGGTAATCTAAAAAAGTTATATGAAGAATTAAATTTGGTCTTAAGTCGTAAGTCCTTTTGTAAAACGGGCCCGTGGTACTTAGAAGGAGTAAACATCCCCTGTTGACTGGTCACACCCGTTGTGATATATATTTATTGACGAGGTATTGACGGTATATTATATTCCAAGTTCACTGGAACATATAGAGTAGACATGTGAATTCAAAGAAGTAACTATTGTTAATTAAAAAAAACATTTCGTTGAAGGCTACAGCAAGTGGTTTCTTCTTCTGACGTAGAAGTTTTTGTTTTTTGAACATATTTTATTGACAACATGTCAAAAGGATTGGACACAAGTTCCAAAAGCTTAGATAGTCCTCTCCCATACATAAAATCTCAATAGCCATACAATATTTACAAAGTTTTTCAGTTTTACAATAATATACATGCATATACATCAACAAGATAAAATTCCAGCTTATGTTATAATACAGCAGATCACATATATGCAATATTTACTTTTTATAAAATATTTACAAATGTCTTAAAAAGCAATTTTCATTAAACACAACACAAATACAATGTACATTTTATATTAGCGGAGAAGTCTACTGCATTTCAAACTGTCCTCCTTCACGTTTACCTGTTAATTCGTTAAAAATTTTAAACATGCTTACTGTCGAGTAATTCTTATTCGCGAGTCTAGCGCCATTCCTTTTCGCGCGAATATTTCTCGTCGCAAAGCATGTTTTTAACTTTATATTTATTTTTTATGTTGTCTCGAATCAAAACTTAAGAAATTGTCAACATACAGTTAATTCTCGATAAACCGCCGCCTTTTGTAATTTAGAAATCATGGCGGTTTAACGAATTTTGGCGATGAATTGAATTTCCCATCTTTTGGGAAACAAAAAGTATCTAGTATTTAAGTTGGATATTAACATTAGCATATAAAACAACAGCAATTTGCCAACAAACCTATGTAAACTAAATCGATCATGCTTTATTGTTGTGAACCCTATATACTAAACCTTTGACACACTTTTTGACCTGTGGGTTGTATTACATTAATATATTAAAGATTAAGGACATGAAGTGCAAATGCAAGTCTTGAAACTAGTAACAAAGATTATAATACCCGAGAACGTTAAATTCTCTATTAAAAAGATAAAGGAGGAATGATACATATATATGTTCAGTTATCACAATACACTTAGTGACATGCATTTTTGTTCTCAGTATTTTTATGCCAATTGTGATTATGAATTACACGGGGTTACTGCGTACAGAATTATGATGATCTAACTGTTTACAACCTTGCCCCTTGTCCTCTACAAAAATTTGAATTTTTCAATTAAAATTTGTACATGACAATTCATATAAATATTAATTTTAAAAAAATAATTTTTTTGTAGAGGACAATAATACAAGGTCTGTATAATTATTTGTTGGAACAAGATGAGATGAATATAGTGGAATGAGAAATACTTTTATTGCTATATAGTGTTGAAAATTTTATATTTGAATAACAGAAATATTATATATTTTTAAACCATTCTCTACAGTTACTGAAAATCTTAATTTCAATAAAAATTTATGCAAACACATAAAAAACAACATTTTCCATGTATTTTCTTCAGTGTTTTACATCACATTGCCCAAGATAAATCTTTGCCTTTCAATTGTTACCTTAAAGATGACTGAAAGTTAACTAAAAAGCGAATTGTCAACTGAAAGATGACTGAGAGTTAACTAAAAAGTGAATCATCTTAAAGATGACTGAAAGTTAACTAAAAAGCGACTGAATTACAAAGCTTTGCCATTCAGTGTCCCATTTAGTTAACTTAAAAGTGCAACATTTCTTCTCGTGTTCATTAATTTTATTTTCTTCACTTTGATATCCAGTAATCAGTATTCTATAGGAGCGCCTCCAGTATAACGTTTCTTTTATATATGCTCAAAGAAACATACATTTATTTTAAAGAAATCACTGCATCATCTTTAAAAATGCAACCATCTTGCTAGCTTCAGTTTTAAGTGAATACCGGTATTTTACTTTATTTCTATGCGTTTTTTGGCTTTGTTTTACCGCCAAACATTTGCAAAATTCTTCACCAATTTCGTGAAAAAAAGTGTCACCTTATTACAACAAGAGATGTTTGTAAAACACTTACGCCCCCTCCCCCCAAATTGGAATTTTTCCAAGTCCAAAAGGGCATAACTCTGTCAAAAATGGCAAGATTGTACCCAACACAAAACTTGACCTAGATAGTCATCTGATAAATCTGTATACTAAATTTCATCTCAGGATGTGCAACAGTTGCAAAGAAAATTTAACTGAATTTTTTCGAAGTTTTTTGGGCATAACTCTGTTTGGTACGATCGTACCCAAAACAGTACTTGGCCTAGATATTCATGTGATATATCTGTATACTAAATTTCATTTCAGTATGTGCAACGGTTGCGAAGAAAATGAACGGGAACTAAGTGGACCGACAGACAGCAGCAAATCAATATGCCCTCCCTTCTTCGAAGGGGGGCATAAAAATACCCTGTACCTTTATTTCTTCGTTTCACTTGCGAACTCTGAATCTGATTGCATATAATATTCTAGCATTTACAACGTGTGGATAGTCCATAGTAGATCTTACATTTCTGGAATCCTTTGCGCGTGGACACTGCTTCTCTACTGTTGTAAGTGATAAGGAATCCGTTTTTGACAGTCTCGAAAAACTGCTCTCTTTCCACAAACGTTTTGTCGTTTTTGAGCAACAAAAGCTGAGAAAAATAAAGCAGCCTTGAAGACAAATTAATGCAGTAGCCAAATAAGATAAAACAAACCATGTGACAAAGGCGTCAAGAATCTGCACAAACCAAACCAAACCCGTAATAGAGAACAGCTTTGCAAACGTTTTTACTTCTGAAACTTTATCTTTTCTCATTTTACTTGATGAAGAAATTCCTCGAACAGTATTTAAGAAAAAGAAGCAATTTATAAAACAGGTGAGCGAGAGGGGAATAACGAATGATACGATGTTTGAAATAATATTCTCCACAAAACATATTTGTACTCCATACCCAAGCGTCCCGTTTACTGCAAACATCACTATAACGTTTGTACAAACAACGACTAAAGGTGTTAAGTAAGAAAATGCAATATATCGATAGAAGGTACTGATGGTGAAGTTAACCCCTGATCGCACCAGATTCTGACTATGGAACACTCTGTACATGTGAAAACAACAGATTAACAGACAGGAGCAAGTGCACAACCAGAAGTAGTGAAGGAGGATTCCAACAATTTCACAGGCAATTCGGTCGTCTTTATTGTTAGAAAACAGAAACAAGAGCTGAGCACAAAACAAAGAAAGTACAAGACTCATTAGATTTAAACCGGGTATCGTCCGTAACACCTTGAACAAACAATACGTTATAAATGTAATCAGTAAGCACACTAAACTTATGCCTGTGCACATCAAAGTAAATATCTGAAGAGGTAAATCAGATTCAGTAGAAGACATTTTTTTCTTCTGAATATCTTCCTGGCATATATGAATTTTTCCTTTCAAAGAAAAAACAAACTGCCATATCTGGAATCGCTGTTGGGTCTTCTTTAGGATTATTTCAAGAGTTTCATAACCAATGGTAAAATCATCCTTATTATATACTGTTTGTTTACAAAAAAGTAAAGAGCTCACGTGGTTATTTTTTACAGGTGATTCGAATAGGGACCTGTTAAGAGAGTCCAGGTAATCGTAGTAGGCCGAAGGCGAAGGATAAATCCATCTGTCGACAATGTATGGCGGTGTGTGTTGTAAGCCCTGTACCTTGACTGAAAGGGTGGAAAAGGATGAGATATTGTTTCTGATGCCCCTTAACTTATCCGAAGTAGTAAAATTAAATGAAGACGGAAATGAGAATAAGGAGAGTTCAACCACAGAACGGTCAAAATAATTATATGCTTGTAATTTTATGTAAATAAGAGTTTTGAAATTTAAGGTATTATGGCATTGTCTTAGTTGTCTAGAAGTAATTAAAGGAATAACAAAATATTTCTTAATCCCATGAAAGACAATCTGTTTTAGCTGTCTTCGTATTTCAGAAAAGATATCTTTCACTGTTTGATTCAAATTGAAGTTGGATATGGTTTCTGTTGATTCAACGTTAACATTCACTTCAAAATTCAGTGTGTATATTATTCTCGTCGCAGTTTTAAAGAAAACGACACATCTTTCGTCTATTAAGTTTCTGCCAGGATAACAACTTAATTGGTCACTTTGCATCTCCTAAGAAAAATAAAAAAAAGACATTAGGTAAACTGCCATATTGTCATATATAGTAAAACAAAACTCATACATAAAACACGGACCCCCGCAAATTCCAGAGGTGGGATCAGGTGCCTTGGAGGAGTAAGCACACCCTCTTGACCTAACACTCCCACCGTAAGCCCTATGTTTGATCGAGTAGATGGGATACTCAACAACAAAAATAAATATATATATGCTAACCAGGAATTTTTAACTATTTGATATTTTACAAGTCTAAGTATGTTGAAATCGCTGTAGAATAATCTTATCTGTCATTAACCTGATTTGATTTTTAAAAATTGGTCGTTCTCGGTCCATTGCGAGATAACTAAAATCGCGAGCAAGAGATGCTAGGGAAAAGATATGCAAATAATTCAGATACATGTATCCCCTTTGTTGATTTTAATTTTAATCTTTTTTGCTTGCACCTCAATACCATCTTGCTTTGAATGATGGGTGTGACCTATATTTTCAGAATTTCTTAAATCTCAATTAATATTTGTGTCCCAGAAATCAAAGATTCGGGTGCAGATAGTTTTTGCTCTATCTGTCAACCTTTTGTCTATCTTTTTGTGCGCCCACATTTACCTTGTCTATAACTATTTTTGATTCGTTTGAGCTATTGCTTTTCTATTCCACATGTGTATTGCTGGCGAAAAAGCCCTTTTTAAATACTAAAAATGTTGCTCTCTTCACCTCGAGAATTAAATCACATCTTAGGATACTAAGTTATTAAACTGCCACTAGCTTAAAACCCGAAGAAAACAATCCACAAATAATAAGACTGAAAGACCAAAATTCCGTATTTAATTTGAAATTGTATGATTCTGCAGCCTCGAGACGAAATAAAATAAAACAAGAGGCTCAACGCTCACTCCTCCATGGCACCTGATCCCGCCTCTGATGTTTCGGGGGTCCGTGTTTTCTTTGCTCTTATTTTGTATTGTTTTATGGACTTTGAGATTGAATACTGTTCGTTATCTATATATCCTTCACCTGAGAAACTTTGGCCAAGCTGTTCTTTACCAGACCCCCCTCCCCTTGTAATACCTATTGTGGCCTCGCCCTTCCTCTGGGGACATAATTTGGACAATTTAGAATCTACACTACCCCGGGATGCTTCCACATTAGTTTTAGCTTTTCTGGCCTATTGTTCTTGAAGAACAGAGCTTTCAGGTTTAAAAAAATATACCATTTTCATCAATTTATGTTTAATCTAACTTTCTCCCACAAGAGATTTCAGTCTATGGTTACGGAAATTGTCTATAACATCCTTTTGGTTAACCGATCATGATATAGTTAAAAGGTCACGAGGCCAATAACCATGGTTTTACATAAGTCGTAGTTATTCGCAATATATGAATTTAAATCTCTTACAGTTCTAAATATATAGGATGTGACAAACGAATGGACCGACGCCAGATTCAGTTATCCCTAGATGTTGCTTAATTTGCATCTTAGGCCACACAAAAATATTACTCTTGAAAAATTACTTTTATAAAATTCATTAACTAAAAAGTTTGTAAAATAATACAACCTGGTAAAACTGTTACAAACCATGTTTAATGCATAACTTAAGTCTTACCCCATGATTTAAAGAGGATTGAAATCCGTGAAACATGAACAAAGTCCGAACAAGCGGGGGTCGAACAATATTTGATCCTGGATCCGAGTTACATATGTATTGGCGACTCTGTTGTAGCAAGCAATTCGGAGCACATGGTTTATAGCAGGATTCGCAGAATCTGTTCTTATACCTCGGTTCAAAAGAATTGTGCAAAGTAACACCAGTATCTGGAAACAACGAGCATGCTTCCTGATAAAATGGAGTATAATTAATGCTGCTGTTATCACACGTGTCTATATCAACTGAAGCCTGTGGATTGCAATGTTGACAAAAGTCTGTGTTCAAGTATTCACTATAGTGTGAATTTTCACATGCCCATTGTATATCGGTGTCAAATGTTTTAAGACTAGATGTGACGTTACAACGAGAATAACCAGTTTTGAACGCCTTAGGACATTGAAAGGAATCGCCTGTATTGAAGACTAGCGAACAGTTTTGTGAAAGTGCATTTGATATCATATCAGTGAAACTTGCAGCATAATAAATGTTCAGTTCCCTCCGACACACGATGTTAACTTCCCATGCTTTGTAATGTGAAGAAAAGTTTAGACTTTTTGCTATGACTTCAAATTTGTTGTTACAGATGTAACAGTAAATATTTTTATATGATAATTTCCCAGAGGAGACTGGAAACATATCAAATCGACCAATGCTGTTTTCACACATGCGTCGTATGGCAGCATAATACTCCGAACCATCATACAGGTTGTCGGTCCTGTAACAACCGCTGATAACAGTGAACATTTTAGACTTCCTACCAGTGTTGATGCTGTCAGAGATGCATTTGATAGGCCACATCAGTGCAGTATCCAGACAGCATTTACAAGGCTCTTCGAGCATGCACGAAGGATTGCACTGACAGTCATCACGAGTTTGGTTTCTAGCAAGAAGTGGTAAAAGCGTCTTATCACATATGCCCTCCGGAAAGAGAGACAACCGTTTCATCAGTAAACTCGAGATGTTAATTTGTTTATCAAGAATTGTCATTATTCCTGAAATATACGATTCGGTTGTATAATTTGCTTGTGTGTGTTTTAATATATCCTCATGTAAGGAATTTTCTCGTAAAATCAGATTCTCGAACTTGTACTGGAATGAATCGAACTCAGAAATTTGTACTTTGATATCATTGAAGAGGTACCATTTATCATCCTCAGTGTTGTTAGGATTTCTTGTGTTACAGAAGAGACAGAAGACATTTTTGTAAGGATGGGTCATGTCAATCACAGGGTTCTCTCTACAGGCTAATTCTAAGTCCTCCTCATACTCAAACCATTCCCCCGTCACGTTACAAGAAGCTATTTTTGAAGATATCTGTTCAGCAGGGTGGCTTGGATTGCACATTGCACAAAATATATTAGTGTACATTCTGTAACGAAGATCATACGTCGATTCACAAGCCTTCTGAATATTTTTGTTTATTTTATTCATGGTGTTGTTACAACGACTCCTTTCAGCTTTTGGAGAAGGTACCTCCATTTGAACCGGTAATGTGTAGTAAGGTACATATAATAACGCACAAGATGCATTCCTTGCATAAGCAAAAATTTCCTCATATGAAGACAGGTAAAAAATTGTCCCTTTGACCGCGCAATTATTGTCAGTAGTTATACTCCATTCATGCAAGTCTTCGTTCTTTTCGCCATGACAGTAGGCACACGGACGATTAACGTACGATACGTTACTCCTTGTAGAGGTAACTGGTGGTCTAGTTAAAATTTCCTCAGCTGAAGCCTCGTTTTCACATTCAAACCTCTGCAATGTACTGCTGTTTTGGGGACAGGAAATGACCATAGCATACGACGGAGGTAATAGATTCAGTCGTACAAAGTTAGTTGGATAATTGATTATTATTGATTTGTAGACAGAATACGGTTTGTTGAAATATTTATCAGGACAACAGTTTCGTTCTTGAAAACAACTTTCCGAGCAGGAACACGCTGGACATAGATTTGATTTTCTGTAGTCACCTCTCAGGCGGTTAGAGATTGGCCAATCATAACATGTGTACCCAGGACCACAAACATTGATGTAGTTATTCATCAGGTCGGTCATATTAATGCCGGCGTTTACAATGCTCATAATGAAATGCAAAGAAGAAATGGTTGCTACAACAAAAGAAACACTTTGTCGGTGAAGAGCCATTCTGATCTGCAAAAAAGGAATGCGATGTAAAATTAGTGTAAATGATTTCTAGGCCCAGCATTTTCGTTTATGTTACAAAAGTATGGCATGTCAAACCTTGCAATATTCGATCTTTTCCATTTGTATTGTATAAGTTTCCATTCAAACTGTATAATTTCTATTTGTATTGTATGTATTTCATCTGTATTGTATAATTTTTATTTGTATTCTTTAATTTTCTATTTGTATTCTATAATTTTTCCATTTGAATTGTAAAATTTTACATGTGTATTCTATATTTTCCATTTCTATTATAAAAATCATTTCAACTCTATAGTTTTTCATTTGCATTCTATATTGTCCATTTGCATCCATTTGTATTTTCTTATTTTCGCAGTGTGATAGTTAAGTGGATTAATTAAGAACGTTAAGGTATTATCATCTATTACTCTTGAATACTTTTTTCCTGACATCTGTATACAAAGGACAATCAAGGAAAAACTGTTTTTCATCTTCAACACTAGTTTTACAATGGAAACAAAATCTATTTTCTCGAGGAATTACGGGATTACAATATCTTCCTGTTCCTAGATACAACTTATGTGCACTTATTCTTAATTTGGAAAGATAAGAAAATGAATTCTTATGAAGGGGAAAACATAAGTATGGTTGGATTGCCAGTTTATTGACATCATGGTTGAATAATGAACTGTGGACTGACAGCTTACCTTATCGAGTATTCATTGTTAATGTGACAGAGTTCAGAAATAAGATATTTCAAAGAAATTTTTAAGTCTACGACTAAAATTTTAAAATCTGTGTCAAAGTTAAAATTTAACATCTTCTGTATTGATTTTATAAAACTTTGCCAACATTTTTTTTTACTGACAAATCGAGTATCTTCCAAGCAAACATTCTTGAGTAAGACGTTGCAATTATCATTTGATTTTGTTAATTTTCCCAATCTGGTTTAATATCTAAAAACAAGCTGGTAGATTTTTGCATGTACAGGGAAAACACCCAAATTCCATGTTTGTTTCTAAGTTTGATGTTTTATTATGCACACCAAAGATGATTTTTAAGATAAAAGTTTGATTTTTTCAGAAGGGGCTTTATGAAAAATATATGGATTTGTATTAAAATCAGAGATTCAAATTTCTGAGGAGTACGTTAAAATTGGAACAATAATTGATTCATATAGCTTTAACTATATGCTGGGTGAGAAATTAAAACCAAAATGTAGTTTATAGTTCAAGGCAAATAAGCTTTTCTGGCTCTTGCAGTAAGATCATCATAAGCATGTTTTAAATTGCCATTTGATTGTAAAAATATGCCAAGATATTTGTACTTATGAGTAATATTTATATTATTAGGTCTTTCCACCTTTCTGTGGAAAGACCTATTGAAATGCTTATGTTTTTAGGTCTTTCCACCTTTCTGTGGAAAGACCTATTGAAATTGTTCTGTTTATTAGGTCTTTCCACCTTTCTGTGGAAAGACCTATTGATTTCCTTCTGTTTCTTCTTTTTTATTATTTTTCCGCCGTGTGATTTTTTGTTTCAAGATTTATCGAAAAGATTTATAGTCCATAAGAATGTACGCCGTAAAAGATTATTGCAGTTCACCCTGCGTAAATGAACCTTGACCCCTTTAGAAGTTATTGCCCCTTTCACAAGAAACGCTTGTTATCGCTACTCCTCAGAAACCATAAACCACAGAGGTATGAAACCTTCACTAATGTCTTCGACTACTTGAGAGGACCTTTCAATCTATTCATTGCGAAAGGATCCAAAGACCCCTTCCATGAGTTATTGCCCCTGAAACTTTTTAAATTTTACAAATAATTAAAAAATTTTAAAATGACAAGTTGTAGAGACATGGGACCAACTGCATAAGATTCATTAACCTTTGACCTTAAAATTCATGTAAAGGTCAAAGGTCAAGGTCATTCCAAAAATGAGAAATGCAGCTCTTTTTAAATCTCTTTTGTCTTTTAACATATATTTAATGTCTTTGCATCATTAATATGGACTTTTAAAACTGTTTCAAAGATTTTATTCTTGTCCCCTAACATTAACCCGTTTAAAAGTTATTGCCCCCTATGCTAAAAACCTTGTTATCGCAACTCCTCCGAAACCGTAGACCGTAGAGACACCAAACCTGCCCTTATATCTTAAGGGTCTTTAGGCCTAATTTCACTGTATAAGTGCAAAAGGATCTGATGACCCCTTAGATGAGTTATTGCCCTTTAACTTCTTTGTACTTACTATTAAACCTTATAACTGAAAAACTATAAGATGTAGAAGCATGTGGTCAATTGCATTGTGACCCTTGACCTTTGACCTTGAATATTTTTTCAAGGTCAAAGGTCAAGGTCATTTTTTTTTTCTTAAAATTTTCATTTTTTCTATGCTTTCACAGACTTTTGGTTTCTTTTTAATAGAGTTTATTTTTTAAGAGTCAGATATAAAACAAATTTGAAATTCAAAGAAGGTGGAAAGACCTCTTATTGTTCTGTGAACAATAAGTCTCCTAGTTATTATTATTATTTTTCCGCCGAATGGTTTTTTGTTTCTTAAGTTATCGAAAAGATTTATAGCTTATATGAATGTACTTCTTAAATGGTTTTTTAGTTAAACCCTGCGTAAATGAACTTTGAACCCTTTCGAAGTTATTGCCCCTTTCGCAAGAAATGTTTGTTATCGCTACTTCTCCGAAACCATAAACTGCAGAGATTCCAAACCTTTATTAATGTTTACGACTGGTTTAGTAGACTCTCCAGTCAAACATTGCGAAAGGATTCATAAACTCTTATAATGAATTATTGCCCCTGAATGTTTGCAATGTTTACGAATATCAAGAACTTTTCCAAAACGACAAGGCGTAGAGACATGGGACCAACTGCAAAAGATTCATTGACCTTTGACCTTAAAATCTAGGTCAAGGTCAAAGGTCAAGGTCATTCAAAATATGTAAAATTAAGCATTTTTTATAGCTCTTTTGTTCTTAACCAAATTCTCAACATCTTTGCATTTTTAGTATGTACTCTTAAAACCATTTAAGAGATTCCATGCTTGACCCCTAAGATTGAACCCTCTAAAAGTTAGGGCCCCTTTCAGTGTAAACCCTTGTTATCGCTACTCCTCCGTAACCGTAAACCGTAGAGGTACAAAACCTTCAACAATGTCTGCGACTAACTTTGTACACTTCTCATTCTATTAGTGCGAAAGAATTCGTAAACCATTTTAAGTAGTTATTGCCCCTGCCAGTTTATGATGTTTACGAAGAACTAAAAACATCTTAACGACAAGTCGTAAAGACATGGGCCAAACTGCATGAGATCTTTTGACCTTTGACCTTGAAGAGTAGGTCAAGGTCAAAGGTCAAGGTCATTGAAAAACTAGAGAAATTGTCGATTAAAGCTTAAAATCTAAATGAACTTGACCTTTGACCTTGATATTTGACCTTGACCTTTAATCCCTTACTCAAAAAGTAATAAAGAAATATTCATTACCTTTATCTACATTCAGCTTCAAGTATTAATCTCAAGTTTATCTCTCTCTTTCTTTCTTTTTTTTTTTTGATGACCTTGACCTTTGACCTTGATAAATGACCTTGACCTTTGACCTCCTATTGACCCAAAGGTCTCAATCAAGCTTAAGGTCGTTGAGGTATTTGCAACTCTTACTCTAACAAATGCTTAAACACCCCCCCCTTTTCGTTAAAAAAAAAAAACAACAGCAGCATAGAAAAAATGTCTACAAGTCAAAAGTCACGATATATCGACATAAGATTCGGTATAAAAGCAAGAAGAGACCTTAAAGAAAGTGTCCTGAGAGTTTTAAGGTGAGTCTCTGAAATATAATGAAATTCTAGTGAAAATCGGCAAAATCTGCATTTTTTTTCTGTCTGAAATTTAGTTATTGCTGAGCATATAAATTAATTAAAGCCCGTATTGGCTATTTCTGCAATTGTTGTTAATATCACTCGATTCTCCTGCTCTATTACGACATTTTAATGCCAAGTATTCTTGCGTTCTTTAGTGTATGGAATTTATTTCAATTTTATTTGGATTTAATATTAATGGAATGAATCTTCATTTCATCTGAAATTTGATTTTTTTCCCCCTAGAATAACACAATCCCAAGAAATAGCGACTTTCAGCATAGTAAAAAGAAATACACGTTTCTTCCCTGTGTTTCCCATCTAGAATTTCATGTTTTGAATTTTATTTATGCTACTTACAATGAATTTGATGCCTATTTCGGTCAGGAATGTTAATATCCGAACCCGATTCTCTGTTTTCCTTTTCCATAATTACAAACTGCCTTGCATCTCTCGCTCATCTTTCTCACATGCTCTTAAATAATTCATCGCCATCCAATTCAAACATAAAACAACTCATATCGGATATTTTCAAACATCTCTTTAATACATGTATAATGCACATATGATGCAGGTACACATGGGACATTTCACAACGTTTTCACTTACGCTTCCGTCTTGATGCGCAGATCAAATGCATGTTATTCATATTAATAGGTATATCATAATTTTAATCAGACCTTACCCCTTACATCTTAACTCGAAAACAATCTCATTCAAGCTCATATATACACATAGGAGCGTGTTACAATGTTTTTTATGTGCTCTCTTTGCGTGATCAATGAATTCGTGCTTATCCCCGAGTCGACTCGTATAAACCAGGAAGTCTGTTCAGATTATATTTATACCAACTGCGAGCCCGATCTAAACTCCTAGTAGAGAAATGAGAATTTTGCTGTTTTATTTATTTTCTTGCTTTTTTCCTACTTTTTTTCAGCCCAAATGATATTGAAACACTTAAAAAGGTGGAAAGACGTCTCATTGTTCTCTGAACAATTAGTTTACTAGTGTTTTTATTAGGTCTTTCCACCTTTCTGTGGAAAGACCTATTGAAATTGTTCTGTTTATTATTATTAGGTCTTTCCACCTTTCTGTGGAAAGACCTCTTGAAATGCTTATGTTTATTATTAGGTCTTTCCACCTTTCTGTGGAAAGACCTCTTGAAATGCTTCTGTTTTTTATTATTCTATTTCTCACCTTATGTTTTGACACCTTAAGACTTATCGAAAAACTTTATAGTTCATGATACTGGATATTTAAAATTATTCCGAAAAATGACCCGCCATGTTTTAACTTCGACCGCTTATGCAGTTATTGCCCCTTTCACTGTAAAGCTTGTTATCGCTACTCCTCAGAAACCGTAAACCGTAGAGATATAAAACCTTCACCATTGTCTTCAACTAATTTAGGAGACTTTTCAGTCTATTCATTGTGAAAGTTTTCTTTGACCCCTTCAATGAGTAACTGCCCCTGAAAGTTTATAAATTTTACAGAAAATTAAAAATTTTCAAAAGGAAAAGTCGTAGAGACATGAAACCAACTGCATAACATTCAATGACCTTTTGCCTTCAAATTCATTTCAAGGTCAAAGGTCAAGGTCATTCCAAATATGAGAAATAAATTTCTCTTAATAGCTCTTATGTCCTTAAATATATACGATCTATCTTATGTCTTTAATATGTACTTTTGAAACTCTTTAGAAGATATAAATCTTGGCCCCTAAGATTGACCCTTTTAAAAGTTGTTGCCCCTTGTGCTAAAAACCCTTGTTATCGCTACTCCTCTGAAACCGTAAACCGTAAAGGTATGAAACCTTCACAAATGGCTTTGCCTAATTATGGGGACTCTTCAATCTATTCATTGCAAAAGCATTCGGTGACACCTTCAATGAGTTATTGCCCCTGAAATTTTTTTGAATATTACAAATAATTAAAAGTTTTGAAAACGAGAAGTCGTAGAGACATGGGACCAACTGCATTAGATTCAGTGACCTTTGACCTTCAAATTTATGCAATGGTCAAAGGTCAAGGTCACTCAAAAATTGAGAAATCAAGCTCTTTTTATATCTCTTTTGTCTTTTAACATATACAATCAGTCTTTGCATTTTTAATATGTTCTCTTAAATCTATTTCAAAGATTTCATTCTTGTCCCCGAAGATTGACCCTATTGAAAGTTATTGCCCCTTATGCGAAAAACCTTGTTATCGCTACTACTTCAAAACCGTAGACCGTAGAGACACCAAACCTTCTCTAATGTGTTAAGGGTCTTTAGGCCTAACTTCATTGTAAAAATGCAAAAGGATCTGATGACCCCGTATATGAGTTATTGCCCTTTAACTTCTTTGTACTTAGTATAAAACCTTATAACTTGAAAACTATAAGTGGTTTAAGCATGGGGTAAATTGCATTGTGCCATTGACCTTTGACCTTGAAAAATTTTCAAGGTCAAAGGTCACGGTCATTTCAATTTTTTTTAATTTTGATTTTTTCTATCAGTTAAGACAGTTTTGGTTTTTTTATTCATGGAATTTAATTTTAAGGAGTCAAATAAACAAAATTGAAAACATCAAAGAAGGTGGAAAGACCTCTTATTGTTCTATGAACAATAAGTCTCCTAGTTATTATTGTTACTGTTATGATAAAATCCAAAACATTTCTTTATTTTACTGGAAGAACAAATGATAACCTTAGTTTTTTTCCCTAATTTTACACGCAACCTCTACTCTATATAATATCTTGAAAGACTCTCTATAGACTTTGGAGGCCTTCAGTTGACTCTGATAATAAAACAAGATCATCAGCAAAAAATGTGATTAAAAGTTAAATCACCTAAAGATACAGGGTAAGTCATTACTTTATCAAAATACTTTTTAAAAGTCGTCAACAAAATTATTAAAGTTAGACTTATTCTCATCTTGTTTAAATGCTCATGCAGAATTAAGAAACCAACACTTACAGCATATTTTGTAGTATTAAGAGTAAATGTTTAATGATATTGAAAGAAAATTCCACCAATACCTTTTTAAAAAATCTTATGCAAAAGAGCTGATCTACATACAGTATCGAAAGATTTGGAAAAATCGACAAAACACAAAAATATCTCAGTTTTATTAAACAGGTATTTCTTCATTAAAGTTTTGAGGATGAAAACATAATCTGTTGTACGATATCCTTTCCTAAATCCTGCCTGAAAATGACTTAACAACCCTTCTGATTCTTAATAATTATTAAGTCGGGTTTTGGAGAAGTCTTGTAATAAAGTTTACCCAGACAACTTGTTACAATCAATCCTCTGTATTTACTGAAAGAAATATATGCGGTATAAGTCAATGGACAAATAAGACACCTCTGGAATGAATAGCAACAAAGATTCAGGAGGTTTAAAAAAGTTATGAGTCGGGCTATTTTTGATAAGTTGGAAGTTTTGTTTATCCCACGTAATAAATTAATTTTTAATATGTAAATTTCAAAATCAGATGGCTGTAAATACCAAATTTATAGCATGGAAATACAAGTAATTATTTCAATTATAAATGTGTTAAACTCTTATAGGATGTTAAAAAAGTAATGTTAATATGTTCTCACTTTAATTTTGAGAAATGTTTAGATAATTTAACTCACCATTCGCTTTTTCCTCCTGTGGGCTTGTTCCCTGAAAGCAATCCTATGCAGCAGTTCAACCGCTGTAATCTTGAAATGACACTGAATCACATATTTAAGTGTCTACCATTTCAAATGTCATTGGTCATCATTGGGGAGCTAGAGGCTTCGACCTATATATTATTTATACCATCATATGATTGCATTAACATTTCCCAAGTGATGCATTCTGAAAGATAAACAAAGGAAAATCGTTAATTATTGATTGCAATTAATAATAAATAAATAAATTACAAACAAATGAAAAACTTAAATATCCTGATAAGATTTTTTTCCCGAAAATCTACTGTTTTTAAAGATTAAACTTCATCAGTCTTTATACAATGAATTTTCAGATCATTTCCTATGGGACCCGCTCATTTCACACTATCTAGAGTGTCAAAAGTATTACTCATGTTACAGATGTATTCATCTCAAAATACATAAATGTTTTACAAAACACAATTTTGCTTTTATCTGTAATTTTACAAAGCTTACATTTTCTCTTCAATGAAAAAAACCGGGAGGGGAAAACATGAACACGGATATTTTAGCTTACCTGAACTTAAAGCTCATGTTATTATTTTTGCCAAATTTTTAACGACTAGCTGTTTAATCTGTCAATCATTTAAAAGTCTAATCTTTTCACATTTTTACATCCCTCCAAAAAAGACAAGAAATCAAAGAGGCAAATGAACAACAATTTTCACCCAAGTCACCTTTGCCCTGCTTTTTTTTTTCAAAAGATTTGATTTTAAAAGAATCTCCTTTAGTCTCCTGTCCAGAAGAGATCACGTCAGGGAATGTAACTTAAATTCGTTCAACATATGGATACTTCGAATGTAAAACCTTGCTTTGTTCGATAATCTTGTGATGTATATTCAAAATCTTGTTATGTATGTTTATAATCTTGTGATGTACATGTATATACAAAATCTTGTTATGTATATATGTTTAAAATTCTGTGATGTATATACAAAATCCTGTGATGTATATACAAAATCCTGTTATGTATATACAAAATTTTGTTATGTATGTTTAAAATCTTGTGATGTATATACAAAATCTTGTTATGTATGTTCAAAATCTTGTGATGTAAATTATATACATTATGATGCATATTCTTGTGATGTATGTTCTATAATCTTGTGAAGTATGTTCTTATAATATTGTGAAGTATGTTCTATATTCTTATCTATGACAACAGTCAAAATTATATCCTATTATATTTATGGTTTGTACTAGATTCAAGGTACTGATGTCAGGTCATCTAAGTCAGGGTAGACCAACAATAAAAGAAATTGAAAATTTTCAAATAGGAACATACAACAAAAATTGTCAAAAACAACCAAGCCTGAATTTCTTTAGTACTTTTATTTATTATGAAACACACCAGTAACTACCAAACATTATAATAAGCAGGGTTTTATAAATACTTTGTCACAATATATAGATTTCACTTGGAGAATTGTGACCCAGGCTAGCGCAGTGATCCATGGGACTGCGGTTCATTTCATTTAACGGGATGTGGACTTCCTTCACCCCTCTGTACTTTCCATGCTTTGGTCCTCTGTGCTTTTCATGCGTAGATGAATCCCGGGAGATTTATCATATCATCATAAATACACCATTTATCAGAGTATTCAAATAAATCAGATGATCATAAAAGTGTTTGGAGACTGAATGAAATCTCAAAATATCAAATGTAGTGTTGTGTAAAGAGTGATTTAGACAGATTCAAATGAATTTTTCTCATGCTTGCAATCAAACTGAACTGTCCCTAAATTAAGATTACAAAAACGAGAGCTAAATCAAAGCGCTATTGCAAATGAAGAACGGAATTGTAGAAATGACCGGTGTGATTTTATGAATATATTCTATTCTGATGAATATATTTTAATTTTTAAATATTACCGATTCATTAAGTAAATAACAGTAAAGACTACATTGGATGACCAATCAGGTAAATCATGCAGTTTCAAACGGGAAAAAAAATTGTTTGAAATTTTGGAAGTCTTTCATATTGTAGGCCTCAAAAGGAGCTTATATAGTTAACCTACCTTAATTTGTTTCTTGTTTGTTGGCAAAAGACGATAGAGACCGACTAACAACTGTGTTGTGTGATATACTTTGCCTTCACATTTCCTTTTGTATGTACAAATGTAATACTTCACTTACACCTGTTGATGATATCAATGTCTACCATTTACATTATTGTTTCATACCAAATGTTTGACCTTTGTTTTTATACAAGTTGACTACCTGATTAACGACGTGTGTGACTAATTTCCTTGTGTCTTATTTTATGTCCTTTTCAAATCTTTGTTTTGTTTTTAGATTTTTTAAGTTCGATCCCTGTTCGTTATCTTCACCTTTACGTTTATCAATTAATATTGATATATTCAATATATTAATTTAAATTGATACATGTAAAGGTATAAAATATTTTATTATATGATTGAATAATTTCGATCTTTCTGATTGGCTGAGATCCAACTATGTTAGAAAAATATTACGTTGTATTGACCTGCACGTGACGTTCCAGGTCAATACAAGGATTTATTTCCTCTACATTGATCTAAAAATAGATTGGAAAATTCCAAATTGATACAAATTGTTTTAGAAAGCTATTTAAACAACTATGATTTTTATTTTCATGTGAACAAAACATAAGCGAATATATATTTTAGGTGATTTCCTCCAACACTTTTACTGAACAACATTTTTTTTTTTACTTTTTGGCATGTCCTTTTCTCTCCTTTCAAAATCTATCCTATAAAAAGACTGACTTTATATATTTTTTCATGGCAACTAAACTTGATTTAAAAAAAACATTTCAAATTGATACGACTGGTAAGGTTTTTTCACGTTTTAATTATGCATCTCTCTTGTTTTGGCTAGGACTTAATAAAATAAGCTGTATCATTTCATCAGTGAATCATATAATAAAACAATTATTGCTGTTTTTTCGGTCAATACAATGATTTAACTATCTTCACCTTTACGTTTATCAATTAATATTGATATATTCAATATATTAATTTAAATTGATACATGTAAAGGTATACAATATTGTATTTATGCACAAAATGAGAGTTTTAAAAGTTTACCTTTAAAATACGGTTTCTTTTCAGTTTAGTATTCTAAGTTCGTTTTTTCAAAGCATTTGTACAGCAAAAGATGGTAGATAATCTTACGTTCAATGTCGTTATGACTACCATGACGATAGATTAAACATGATGAATCTGCGATGACATGGTGGTAACCAGTATGGGTTTATTAGCCTTTTATATGCAACATGAGACTTGGTCCCGAGCAAAGGAATGGACCGAATCATATGGTCGAAAATGCGGCTTAATCAAGAGGGATCACTAATAAAAATAAATTTTATTATGTGCCATTAAATTGATTTTGAATAATTACACCTGTACCAGATTCCTTAACAATATAAAAATCCTTGAAAATAAAGGTACAGAGTGGATTCTTCGAAACTCTCCTTCTTTACTTCACACTTAAATATTTACAGCAGTAATGGAGAAAGTTCAAGAGTAAAGAACATCAACAGAAGTGGTGTAACATCATCAGTGGTGTGTAACATCAGAATGATATAGATAACGAAAAACTGCAAGGACCTTGAAACATGAAGTGTTTTGCTGTGACTATCAATGTAACACTTACACATGTAAATGTATGGATGACATTTTGTCTATAAAAAATGTAAATTTTTATTCCTTGTTTCAATTTATCTGTTTAAACTCGAAATAAAAGGTACCCCAGAGCATAGCACGAGTTTTATATTTGGATATTTTACTAGAAAAAAAAAAGACATAACCTATCAAGAAGACTTTATAACTTGATAAATCTTATGACTTCAACTTTCCTTTTTTGTTGTAGTTTACCATAATACTGGTAACCTGCATATGGCGTTTTTCCCCAAGCTGACTTCATACGCAAGAGTATGCTCCACATATGAACAATGTCTGAAACCAGGAAATCTATTGACAACAAGTTGACGTTACAAGGAAGTTGATGATTGAAAATTTGGTCATCACTTTATCATTAAGCGTTCTTTTTAGCTTATCTTTTATTCATTATATTTTTTTTATATAAAAGATTCAAAAATGAAACAGATAGTAAATACTTCAGTATCTAAAGACTTCAAAAGTGTCCAGTTAATTTTTTGCTATACATTGCTCAAAAAAGTTCCCCTCCACAAAGTTATTTTTAGTCAAAGAGCTACATGTACAGATATAAACCCTTTTCCTGTACATATTCCACATGTTATAAATTAAAAAATACAGAAAAAGAACTTTGTTTCTTTTAATTTTATTAATCTCCTTATTGTAATTTGCTAAAGGTTTTATAGCTGCTGTGTCACTTTTTCTTTATCAACTTGCAAGCCGCTTTTCATTTTTTAATTGGAATTCTGACCCATGTTTAACTGATATGAAGTATCCATTCATGAACTAGTATTTCATAAACTCCCTGTCTTCTGTATCTGTTAAATGGCTTCTGTGTGCCTTTTTACATTTTTAGATTTCTTTCCTGGCAGACAAGGGCGTAGACCTTGTGCTCTATATTCAATACAGATGTTAGTCCTCATTCAGGACTTGGTTTTAAATCCACACGGAATGGTTTATCAACAGGGAGTGATCCACACCTGGCAACAGTGATCTCCACCAGGGGGCGGTCGTTACTATCTGTACGAACGTTCTCCATCCTCCGAAATATGTCCTGAAACGATTACAACACACGAGATTGATCACTATTACTGAATAAATTCAAAAACAACAAATTTTAACTGATAATCAAATTTTCAAAATTACTCAACCATTCAATACATGGAAAATGGTTAAAACCAAATCCAGGTGCAGAATGGCAGTTGAGGCTTGATAATTTCAGGTTAGCATATTTTTTCTCACTATATATTTACTTTCCATTTGAATTTCTTGCAATGAAATACATGTATATGTCTATAACTAACAGCTCAAAAGTGCATTTAACATTTTCGTAACTTTTTCATTAATAATGTATCTAAATTTTCAAAAGCAATACTGAAAAATTCCAAATATTATCATTTAATCACATCAAACGTTTATCCTGCATGCCTTTTATCTTTTAATTTAGTACATGTGAAATAAAGTTGAAAAGTCATAATACATTTTATAGCAGACGCATCAATGGAAACTACTTTTGATAAATCAAAAGATATTTTCAAACTCATGAAAGGATGCAATTCAATCCAGACTACATAAAGTACAAGCGATGTCTTCTTACCATTCCTGCCAGGACTTTTCCAAAAACCACGTGTTTGCCATCCAGCCATGGAGCGGGAACGGCAAAAATGGCGAACTGTGAGGAGTTGGTGTCTTTACCGTGATGTGCCATATTGACCCATCCAGCCCCGTTATGTGCAAGATGGAAATTTTCATCAGGAAATCTAGCACTTTCATATATACTTCTCCCTGAAAATCAATACGTGGGGATCAAATGAATAAGAAATGATCAGATATTCTTTCTATGTCCTCGCTAAGTACTGTTTGTGGACAATTTTCCTACCTCCATATCCGTTTCCTTGAGTTATATCCCCTCCTTGTACAATGAAATCCTTGATGATACGATGAAAACGAACTCCTTCATACGTTAATCTTTTTCCGTCTCTAACCTAAAATCAAAATGGTGTTATTTCTCATTAAATGATACTAAACAAAATGAAATTTAACTGTATAGCGTAAATTAACGATACTTTAAAACCCTGCAAAAAAGGTAAGTCACTCCTGAAATTTGTTAAATCAAGGATTTTTTGAGAAGTATATTTTGAATAAGTACTCATAAAGTGTAACTCAAAATCGCAAAGAAAATAGGGGGTCAGTGTGCATCCTACTGCTCTATGGTACATTTAAGTTGACCTTTTTGCACTTAAATTTCATCTCTTTGGTTAATTACTTAAACCCTTATTATATTTTATCAGATGTAAGCATGGCAATAAATATAATGTTATTTTACGTAAAATAGTTTGAATAATATTTATCATTAAACAAATCTTGCAAATTAATGCGCGTAAATTATTGTGTGACCTTTTTGCACTAAAAATAACATATTTGGGGTATTAAAAAACTTAATAGGCAATAAAAAAAATTTCTTATATCAAACTTTTTACGACTTAAGTGCTGATCAATCACAAGTATCGAGTAGTTTGAAATAATGAAAGAAAAAGGTGGGGTCAGTGATGTTAATTTTGAAATATTTGTCAAAATATGTGATTTTCAGGCAAAAAGTGGTGTAAATTTGATCTTGACTTCTTCAATATTTTTTTATTTTTTGGAAAAGTTTGTTGAGGGAAGGTGTAAAACTTAGTCTAAAAATATAAATTAAGACCTATATTAAATATTTTTAGCAATATCAAAACGGAAAATATTATCCGAGTAAAATTATGTGAGGCTAAATTTCCATTACATTTTAAATTTTATAAATGTGCAGATTTGCAGAATTTTCTGCTAAATATCCTTCCACCAAAAGAAATAGTCCCTCATAAATCTTGCTTCTTTGTAGATTTTCGAGCAGTTTTTTCGTTGAATGTTAAAAAAATTACATTGTTGAATTTAAATATGTTATAAAAATCGAATTTTAATAAGTAGTTTTGAAGTAAAAGCTTCTGCGTAAATTTTTCTAAAAAGCTGACGAGTGACATACCTTAACATTCACAAAAATCTTCTCTGACTTTTCAGAAAATTTTTTATCAATTAAGTTTTCATGCCAAAAAATGACGCTTTATTAATAGGTCACATTACAAAAAACTTTTATAACTTCATGATTTAAAATAAAAATACTTAAAATGTGCACTTCATAATTTACTAAAAAGTATGTCAGAAATTCTGTAAATATTCTGTATAAATTCTTGTAACATCAGTTTTTTGTTGGTAAAGAACAGAGTATGCAAGGCTAGTTGCATTTAAATGTAAGTGTTTTACAGTGTGCTTACATAATTAAAAAAAAAATCCGTATACGTCTATACTAACCACTGTGCCCTCGGCGAGGGTTTTAAAGTTGAGGACAGTCTTAGGAACCACATCTCCAAATAAACCAATCACCATACGTCCTATCTCTTCATCTCCCATCCGAATGTCAAAGTAAACCTACATGATTGTATAGAAGTAAGCAGGTTCTGTACATAAGTGTACTTAAACGACGTGTCTTTAATGAGTAATTTAAACGATTACTATCTTGAGCTTGGTTGTGTTGGTGTCGATTGCAGGGATCCGATTACCAAACAAACCCATTCCAATTAACCATTATTCTAAATAGCACCATTGTTTCCTGTTAGTTTTCCACTGACTCACCTTGTCCGTCACCACGGGTCCCACTTCTTCACTAGCTGTATCATTGCTACATACAACGACCAAAACCACCATCAGAACAAACACCGACTTCTCGTCACACGTCATGACTGGACCGAAGCTTCTCTCTCTCTACCGTTCTCTAAGATAAGCAGACACGTGGCACATCAGACACTTAATCTGAACCGCTGCTGTACCGACATAAGCTCACGTGTGTAATGGAAGTCGGTGGGGGGCGTACAAAGCCACTATATACACGTACTGCAGAGGGTTAACTTCCCGATATATAAATTCTTTACAGTTTATTCACGCTGGCATAGCATGCTTATAAATGCTCGGATTTCTTATACAACAATGAAATAACTGCGGTGTTTATATATATAATCAACAAACGACACCGGCACTTTGCCCCTTGCTGTCACATTGGTTAATTACTGACTGATAAGACCCCAGGGTTTCTTCGAAAATCCTATGTGCAGCTAAATCTTTTTTACTGACCATGTACTGAGATTGTAATTATAATCTAATATGAAGCCTAATTTAAAACATGCAGAACGATTAAGGGACCTTTTTCAGTGTCATTCGAAAAATACAAAATATAGCCGTTTGTTCAAACTTTTAAAATATATTTCATATAACATTAACCAGCTGTTAACATACATGTGTATATACTTTATAAAGTCTTCAGTCACAAATCCCAACAATCTCACAGATTGAAATTAGTCGTCTACTAATAGCAGATGTACACCATTGGGAGCAAAAATGTTTCAATTCTGAAAATGCTGAAGGAAGCAGGAAATGCCCAAAGATATGCGGATTTGTGTGTAAATTGCTCTGTGAACAGAACTGGTGAATGGTCTGGTCCACAGGCACTTGTCGACAGGACACCCCTTCCCCCCACCCCCATATACACCGCCGGGTTAAGAGATATTTTTATATCTTTTTTCATAAATTATAATATTCTTTTATATGTAGTACACATTTGCAATCAAAAATCTAATATGAAAAATCCCAAAAATAATGCAGAATTAACGTTTTATTTAAAAAAAAGAAGAAGAAGCTTACCCGTGGTATTATGAAATATAGCATGATTATATATATATATATATAAAATACCGCGGCCGGGTATGATTTTTTTTTAATGAATTTATGTAGCATTAACTCATATGTGTTATTATGACTTGTATTTATCATTACTTGGTGGTCTTTCAACGTTCACGTTGAAAGACAAATATTATCTTGAAGAATTTATTTCTTTTTGTGCAAAGTTTATTTGCAAAGCCTCTGTCTTTATAGCAGGGCTTCTACCCATTCATATTTTTTATACCCGCACTTTCTAAAGAAAGTTCACAGGTATATTGTTGTTACTCATGTCCGTAGTCCGTCCGTGTGTGTCTGTCACACTTTTCTTCCCTAAACTCCTCTTACATTTTACACAGTAGGCTAATCATCTTTTGGGAGATGGTTGGTGGTGTCATGTAGATGTGCAGTAAGGTAATGGAAGCTTGATTTTGCCTTGGGGGGTCAAATGGGGGTCGAAAAATGACGTTTTTTCTGCAAAAAGCCCCGTCTTCCCTGAAATCTCATCTTACATTTTACACAGTAGGCTAATCATCTTTTGGGAGATGGTTGGTGGTGTCATGTAGATGTGCAGTAAGGTTTCGGAATTTTGATATTGCCCCGGGGGGTCAAATGGGGGTCGAAAAATGACGTTTTTTATGCAAAAAGCCCCGTCTTCCCTGAACTCCTCTTACATTTTACACAGTAGGCTAATCATCTTTTGGGAGATGGTTGGTGGTGTCATGTAGATGTGCAGTAAGGTTTCGGAATTTTGATATTGCCCCGGGGGGTCAAATGGGGGTTGAAAAATGACGTTTTTTATGCAAAAAGCCCCATCTTCCCTGAACTCCTCTTACATTTTACACAGTAGGCTAATCATCTTTTGGGAGATGGTTGGTGGTGTCATGTAGATGTGCAGTAAGGTTTTGGAATTTTGATATTGCCCCGGGGGGTCAAATTTCAAAAATGACGTTTTTTATGCAAAAAGCCCCGTCTTCCCTGAAAACGACGCTTTATTACTCCTCTTACATTTTACACAGTAGGCTAATCATCTTTTGGGAGATGGTTGGTGGTGTCATGTAGATGTGCAGTAAGGTTTTGGAATTTTGATATTGCCCCGGGGGGTCAAATGGGGGTCGAAAAATGACGTTTTTAATGCAAAAAGCCCCGTCTTCCCTGAACTCCTCTTACATTTTACACAGTAGGCTAATCATCTTTTGGGAGATGGTTGGTGGTGTCATGTAGATGTGCAGTAAGGTTTTGGAATTTTGATTTTGCCCCGGGGGGTCAATTGGGGGTCGAAAAATGATGTTTTTTATGCAAAAAGCCCCGTCTTCCCTGAACTCCTCTTACATTTTACACAGTAGGCTAATCATCTTTTGGGAGATGGTTGGTTGTGTCATGTAGATGTGCAGTAAGGTTTCGGAATTTTGATTTTGCCCCGGGGGGTCAAATGGGGGTCGAAAAATGATGTTTTTTATGCAAAAAGCCCCGTCTTCCATGAACTCCTCTTACATTTTACACAGTCATCTAAACATCTTTTGGGAGATGGTTGGTGGTGTCATGTAGATGTGCAGTAAGGTTTCGGAATTTTGATTTTGCCCCGGGGGGTCAAATAAGTGAAAAATGACATTTTTTATGCAAAAAGCCCCGTCTTCCCTAACTCCTCTACATTTTACACAGTAGGCTAATCATCTTTTGGGAGATGGTTGGTGGTGTCATGTAGATGTGCAGTAAGGTTTCGGATTTTGATTTTGCCCCGGGGGGTCCAATAGGGGTAAAAAAATGATGTTTTTATGCAAAAAGCCCCGTCTTCCCTGAAATTCTCTTACATTTTACACAGTAGCCTAATCATCTTTAGGGAGATGGTTGGTAGTGTCATGTAGATGTGCAGCAAGGTTTTGGAATTTTGATATTGCCCTGGGAGGTCAAATGGGGGTGGAAAATTACATTTTTTGTGCAAAAAGTCCTGTCTTTCCTGAAGTCCTCCTTAATGTTACTCAGAAGCCTAATCATCTCTCTAGGAGAGTTAAATATCTTGAAAATTATGTAAAACATTAACGTTAAAGAGTAAAAAAACACTTGCAAGCTGGGAAACATCTTGAATTTTTATGAGTAATTAATGTACAAATGTGTAATGTGAGAGTCATATCTCATCTCAATCAAAAGTTATAAGCAAATGCAACATTTTTGAAAAGTAGGTTAGGCTTCAAGGTCAAGGTCACAGAGTATATCATGATTCATTTGGAAAGATCTTATCACAGGTAATAATATACATGCATTATAATATGAATGCCCTAACTTTTCTCTTTCAAAATGATAAATTTATAACAATTTAATTTTTTTGCAAGTAGGTCAAACTTCTATATATAAAAAAAAAAAAAAAAAAACCATGCCATTCTCACAGGTAAATACTAGTACATAAGTTTAATATGAATGCCTTGTCTCTTCTCATTCAGTAGATATGACCGTGATAACCAAGGTTAATTTTATTCAGACAGAAGAACAGTCTGACATACAAATGTACATATTTCTATATGAATTGCATGGGTAAAATTGGCCCAGTGGTTCTAGAGAAGTTAAAATGTAAAAAGTTTTCAGACAAACAGATGGACGACATGTCACAACAGACATTATATGACAAGGAAACCAGAAAAGCTCAAATGAGTGTTTTGAAAGGGTTACAATATGGTTGCAGTACTTGAAAAGCTGGGTTTTTTTTCATGCAGAGATATGCATGACCAACATATTCATGTTTTATATTTTCTTTAGTAATTTGTTTGTTTGTTGTGAATATATCTCATTGGAATTTTTCCGTCATATGGAGACACCACCAAATAATAATGAAGACAAGATGTGTTTGTGAAACACTGATGTCCCTGTCTGGTAGCCTATGGCCAAGGTTGAAGTTTCTCAAATATATATCAAACTCAAAGGTCAAGGTCAAAAGGTTCAATTGTTGGTATCAGAAAAAAGTCTTGTCACAAGGAATGCACATGTGAAATAAGTAATCCCTATAGTACTTCCTCTTCAAAAGTTAATTGCCAAGGTTAATTTTTTAAGTGTAAACTCTACGGTCAAGGTCAAACATATTTATACCTGTTGACAGTTCACAATGAATACACATGTTAAGCATGAAAGCCCTAGCACCTACTGATCAAAATTTAGGCCAAGTTTAAAGTTGGGTATTTTTCTTGTAAAAATGTGTATTCTAGGTCAAGTGATCAGAGGTAAAAATTAATGGTACCCAAATAAAAGGTCTTAATTGTCACAAGAAATAAACCTATAAAATGTGGAAGCCAATTGTATAATCCCACTTAAAACTTATGGGCAAGGTTATAATTTCTGCAGACAAATATACAGACATAATATAAACACAAGAAACAAAATATGTATATAATTAGTCAAATGGAAAAAAAATATACTATTTAATTGGAATCACAAAATAGATTGTTATTTATATATATATATATATATATATATATATATATATATATATATATATATATATATAAAATATATATATATTAACTAAGAAAACATAGGGTTTTTTTTTTGTTTATTTGTTTTCAGTGTATGATTTTTTTCTCCTGCTTGTCAGGAAATTCTAGGCATGAATATTTTGACTGAGATGTGAACCCCCCTCCCTACTCCCGAAAAAAATTCTGGATCCGCACCAGTATTGGCAGTAACTGAATGTCACATCGACAAGGGGAGATAACTTCACATATATATTCGTCTATATATATATATATATATATATATATATATATATATATATATATAAACTAACTTACCGACCTCCATAGGTCCTGTAAACTTCATGAAATATAAATCCAATTATAACACAAAATGAATTAATCCAAAGCACACCATTCTGCAGCATGTTATAATTATTCCATTAAAACCTCCGTGGTGGTCACCTTATCAGATGAAGTGGGAATCACGTTACCGAAAGACAAAAATATGATAATGGGTGACGCAACGTGATGTGATGTAGAATTTACATGTCAAGAACAAATTTTAAATTAATTAATAACAAACACTGTTTTAACAAAACTGTTCCATCTAGCCTATTCCCAAAAGTATGTACTGTGTGATTGTGGTGTCGAGGGTGGGGGGGGATTAGTAAATTTAAAAAGGTCCTAATATGAGCAAAACATTTATCAAAATCTAATTTACATTATTATATATATATGTCTCATGACAGCATCTAGTTTCAGTTTATTACTGATCTTCTTGTAAATACTTTGAAACATTTCCCCCTATTTAAAAAAAACTTTTTGGTTGTTGTTAATTTACAATTTGAATTTGACAAGCGAACATAAAGATGGAATAAATAAATGGAACTGATTAACTTGTAAATTACATGAACTTGTAAATTACATGCATTGAATATAGAATAAATAATTTATTCACTAAGTAAGAAAAAAAACACCAATTTATAAATTTATTACGTTCTTACGAGAATGCATATAGTTTATACACCCCTGCTTCTTATCAACTCCTGTCTTATCCAATTATGCATTTCTGTATTGCACATGAATAGAAGCACATATTTTCCAACATAAGTAATATATACTAGTAAACACACAGGGAAAGTACACATTCTTTTACATATAAAAAAAATTATGCCACTATTGCATTTTGCAATGTTGATAATTTGAAGAATATTAAATTCAAATCTTTAAGCAAATTGAGACCCAAGCACAAAAACTGTTAATCATACATTAATTTATCATTTGTACTAGGAACACATGCTTTTGTTTGCTATGTGCTAATAAAAGCGACAGTAGCTATTGGTCAGTATTTAAAGGCTGATACCTGTAGAACAGGTGAAAAGGTATTCAATTTAAGCACGTTTTTAACTCATTCGAAGACTTTGCTTTGCGACATTCACCCCCACACACCCACCCTCTTACTTCACTCTCTTGCTTGTACTTTGTTTAATGAAGAAAGTTAAAAAAAAAAGTTTATTTAAAGAATTGATCAAATTGTTTCCATCACACGAAAATTTAAAGTTTTGTACACAACAGCTCAATTGTCAAAGATTGGAAACAATTTGCTTAGTCGCTCTAGATAATTTTATGTAATAATATTAGTACATATAGTCGAAATGTGTTTACAGATTGTTCTAACTTACATTTATTTTGCATAGGTTTTACTTAAACTAGTCGATTAATTGTACAATATATATTTATGACACTTACGTAAGTTTGTGAGAATGAGTCCACCATTTATTTTGTTTACCTTGCAATTGCTGCGGACTTAAGGTTTCCATAGTTTTTTCAACATAAATCGATGTTGTTTTTTATCTATGGTTTTTCCTGGGCGGCGAGGGAAGCATAATTGTGTTCATACATGCATTATATTATGTTTTTAATCAGTGAAGTGAGGACATATAAAAGCATTATGTTAAAATGCATTTTGTACTGTGCAGTGTGTTTAATTATTTTTTGATATATTGTAGAAGGAAGGTAGAGAATCGGTACCATTGAAGACTTGTGTTTTGTAAATGTATATGTCTAATAAATACTGGCAAGCAAGCGCTTCCATGTCCTATATAGATAAGTGTTCTTGTTTTGATTGTAAATAATTTATGTTCGTTTGTACGTAGGCAATCTCTTCATGACAAACCCTGTGTTATCTTCCAAAATCACACAAGAGAAAAATTGTAGAAAAAAGTTATCTCCCTAAAGAGTTTTTCCACATATTTCAGGATTCCACTTGATAATTACTAGATATATCACACAAGATTTTCCTTGTCGTTTGTACTGAGTTCGACAAGGGCTATTTTCTCAGGGCTGTCTCTGTCTGTCCTCTCACTGCTTGGCTGACTAGAACGCCCGCTGTCCAGTAGACTCGAGTGTCCACTACTGCCACTGCGAGTTCTCAATCTCAGATCCACAGGAATAACAGATTGACCCAAACTCTCTCTGTCTTGTATTATTTCAGTTTTTATTTTATTCTTCTTGCTTTGGTCAAATGACACTTTAGAATCTAGCATTGCCACTCCTGAAGTTTTTTCCAAAGATTTCAATTTAAATCCCTTTTTTAGGCTAAAAAAAATGAAGATGAGGATTTGATTTACATTGGTGGCTGAGGGGAATATATAAAGGGAGCTAAATAAAAGAATTCAACAAAAGCATGGAATGAAACCTGGGCCCACAAGCCCCATAGCTTTTAACTCAAAGATACATTTCGAATTTGCTTCAATGTTACATTACACATAATGTGCCTATCTTTAAACTGCTTCAATAAATATACAATTACACTTACTTATCTATAAGTTGGTTCAATAATTTCATGTAATGGTTGTATTCACTCTCTCCAAATATCTGAAAGAAAAAAAAAATCATTAAAAGAATGTACGTTACCAACTGAAGTATCATAATGAATACTAAAAAGTAAACTAAAGACTTAATAATTATTCAACAAAGTAAAAAACTGAAATTCTTATAGCTTCAGTCTGACTAAAGCCAGCCCCTCTATTTCACTTCATACGAAGGAAGTGAAATAGTAGGGGCTGGCTTTAGTCAGATTGCTTAAAGTTTATAAACACTTTATATCATTCATTTTATTATTAGTTTCTAATGTTCATATGAATATATAAATTAAATAAATTCTTTAAACAGACGACATATTTTGAAAAGCTAAAAAAATTTTGTACTAGAATTAAGGACTCAAAAATGCATAAAACTTAAATGAGTTAAATACCTCTGGGCTGTGACGAGCGTGTTCATAAGCATCACTGAACTCGTTAATAACTTCCAGTGGGCAGGTACTGAGGTAGGACTTCTTGAGTCCTGTCAGGTACCACCTGACTCGAGTGTTTGGGTGACGTCCCTTGTATGTGTTATCTTCCCCCTTAAAAGTTTCATCTAAAGAAAAAGCAAATATGCCATACAGTTTATGGTGTAAAAAGTTATACGAAAGGAAAAATGCCATCACAAAGGACAGTAATACTACATTGCAGCCAATTTGCAGGACATTAATATTACTGGTATTTTTAAAGTTATTAATTATTCCTTCTTGCAATTAATTATTTTATCGCTAACCTTTCATCATGGGACACTTACCAAACTTTGAAAATGCATCCATTGCCTTCATTCTATATAAATAATGGTTAGAATCTGAAATGTAAACATATATTTTACACAAGTACTTTGATCAAACAGAATTAGAATACCAGTGCACAACAAAAATATGGAATAATTTCTAGAAAATCTTGGAACTGAAGCAATCTTTCACACATCATATTACCTGGAGATGATAAAATTTTGTTGTTTAATAAGGCTGGTTCATATTTTATCTTTGAAACTCTGTTTAATTTCTCCATAATTTGTTTCTTTAGCATCTGAAAATTAAAAGTTCAAAAATACAAAAGTAAGACTGAGAATTCAGAAACTGTAAATAAAAACAATGCATTAAATGGCCTTTTCCCTTTCCTGAATTTGAAATTTTTGCAACTCTAAAGAGAGATTGTTGTTAACTGGAACCATACACACTACATACTAGAAAGAAATAGAGAGATGCTGATATGTTGCTGATCAATACCCCAAAACCATACAGGGTAAATATCAAATTCAAGTCAAAGTTAAATCAAAATAAAAATTCCTTTTAAAAGTAAATGACTTAAAATAAAAATTACCTTTTAATACCTTGTGCTCCTGAATATCCAGGTTAATTTTCATTAACATGTCTCAGGGCACCTCATAAAAAAGTGTGATATCAAATTCTTTTAGTGATATCACATTAAATTTATGCCTTTTAGCCACAATAAATGCCATAATGAAAACCTAAAAATATTCATTTATAGTCACTTTATAAGAAAATGAAAATGTTTAACATTTTTTCTTTATATTATATCTAAAGGATAAAGTAAAAAACAGTCTTTTGAGAGTGTTATCAATTTTTTCAAGAATGCATGTTTCTCTGAAAATTAAATGCATTATTATTTATAAAGGTTCATTTAGGTCCAAACCCTTATGGACAGAGTGCAAAGTGTTAATTTCCAAAATAATATAAAATGCTGCATATGCAAATAATACCTATATTCTTGCTATGATTTTTCAAAAGAAATGTATTTTATAAGTTAAATACAAACAATTATAGCATAGCTTGCGGTGCAAAATTGGACAAAAAAGACACTTCAACTTGGTAAATTTATAAAGTAATAAGAGACATTTATGTCTTTAAGAGTTATCTCTCTTATCAGAGTATCAATGTACCTTAAAGAAATAAATATAAAAGTGTTTGATTATTGTAAATAATTGTATTTAGTTCCTGCGGTTGTTTGCACATCTTCCGAAGTCTCGTGTTTCTTAGCCACTCTGCTCCCTCTGACCACTTGGCTGAATAGAAAGACTTTGAAGGGGTTTACTATCGCACCTTAACATATTCTGAACACTATTAACCTCTGCTACTGACCAATCATAGTAAGTGAATTAAACAGAGGTATTCAAAAACAATATTAGAAGTTGCATGGTGATAGCAATAGATTCAGCATAATTTTAACTCCTATATATGCAAAGACAAGCCTTTCACTTAGGTTTTTAAAGGTAAACTGTCTTGTTTTTCTGTTTACAATTTAGTTTCAGGTAAGATAAAATTATGTTTTTGGTCGAATCATGCAAATCTTATGAGTCCAGCAAGAGAGTGTATAAAAAATGTGCATAGGGGATTGAATGTTGTAGATTTTTGATGGATATGTAAGAAAATTAATCTGAACATAAATACTGAAAAGAATGTAAATCTCAAACTTAAATTTGGCCTTCATAGCAATCTTCCCTTGAATATTTTTTGGAATATTTGTCATTATAGTGAGTGCAACGAGCAGTGCAAAGCAATGCGAGCTCTTATGACAACACCTGGGTGAAGAGAAAATTTGGACTTGACAATAAATAAGTAAATTAAACGTTTTTCATTAAAGTCAGTGCTGTTCAAGCTTTGATTTATCTTATTCATCAACGCCAGCGTCTAGACGCATCAAATGTCACGTGCAATTTGGAAAGCTCAATCTAAATTAAAACTGAATAAGTATCTGCACACTCAACCTAACCGTCAAATCGTCAAAATATTATGATATTATTACCAGCAGTCCTGCTGCAATAAACAAGACTATTCCAACGATAGTTAGCTCCCTTGTGACAGACATCCTGTGAAACGTCCTCCTCACATACTCAAATCTGCAAGTAAACTAAAACTTTATCATGTTTATAGGTGAAAGAAATAAATGAAAAAATCAGTAATTAAAAATCAGTAATTAACTTATATCATACATGTAATAGCGAGCGCAGCGAAGCGAGCTCAATAGACTAACGTGTAAGACCAAAAAAAAATTCGGAATTAAATCTGTACATGTATACGTCAAGCAAATTTTTGTGTGAAACCTTCCCAGAATTCCTTTGCTACCCAATACCCTTTGCAAAAATAAATAAAAAAATAAAAGCATAAAAGGCTTTCAGTTTGTAGAAATCTTTAAAAGAAACAAAAAATAAATCTGCAATGTTTTTCAACAAAAATTGCACTAGGTCTATAGTTTCAACTAGACGCTCGGCTGTTTCCGTAAACCCTGACGAGCTCTCATGTGACGTCACAGTCTAGATGTCTCATGTGACTTAACGTTTGAAGTGGCGGATCAACATTTCAGGTGTATTTGAAGGTACAACTGGACTGGCCCCCACGGTCACACCGTAAAATATATCAAAGCGAGCGTCACTTGTCACTGCGAGCTCTTAAAGCAATGCCTGGATGAAGAGAAAATTCATACTACTGCACATTTATTCGATAGAAATTTTTCCGCAGTAATATGGACCCACAATGCATTGCTTCGTACACAAATGCTAAAGCAACGTTCTCATGAAATAACAACAAAAGTTAAACGAATAAAAAATGTGCCTTGATTTAATGAATTTGTTGCAGAAAAATAAGCAATAAAATGGTTCTTCATTAAAATTAGCCATGTTCAGGCTTCGATTTGGTAAAGCAACATGCATACGATGTCATGTGACGTCAGAGTCTTAGACGCACCAAATGTCATGTGCGATTTGATAGCCCGATGTAAATGAAAAGTGGATAAGTATCTGCGCTCACCCAAACAACTGCACCATCAACATATTATCTATTAGACTAATCAGCATACGACTCCATGATAATCTCAGCCAGATGTCGTAGAGAATTAACTCCATGATCACTCCATGATCATTGGAGTTTTAAATGGAATTCTTTCCGATACATATAAATTGTAACTTATAATATTAATAATCACATTGACCATGGGGGCTATGTAGAGAAAATAAATGAGTTAGAAAATTAGTACCTCAAAGAAAACATCACATGATTTCTTAATTTCTCCAAGGTTGTAATACTAGTATTCTGATTTAGTAATTTTCTCTACACAAGCCACAGGGACTTGTTTCTGTGATAAATTTTTGACCCATAGTATAATAATAACACAAGGTATCTAACTCCAAATTACACGGAATCGCGCTCATTCACACTTTCAGAGAAAAGGCAGTGGCAAACATTTTACACCTATGTCATCTAATATAATTTATCCAAACAACCATATATGGCTTATACCTTGTGTTATTATTATACTATGGGTTAAAATTTATTCCTGAAACAAGTGCCTGTGACACACAAGCCCCTGCCTGTGCATATTGACATGTATCCACTATCCAGTTACCTGAGCTATACATAAACAATGGAATTTCAAATACATGACAAAGCATTGTGTAATTCAACTTACATTTAAATGAGAAAGGTCGGTGCAAGGGGAAAATTCAACATATTTAGATTATTTTTAACAAGTCTTGAAAACTTTCTCAGCACTTGCCTTGTTTACGTTTTTTTTTTTGCATCACGATCCCGATTGGAATATCGATGTAATTATCTTACCCGTTGGCGATTGAGAGCTAGGACTGGATACGGGGGGGGGGGGGGGCTGTCCACTTTTTATGGCCAAAAGTAAATATCTTTTTAAAATTTTTCTTATAACATTTGTTTGGATATTGCCTTTCTTGTCTGGTACTTGTAAACTACAGGTACGTGAAACACAAGCACTTGTTTCTGTGATAATTTTTTTTTAACCCAAAGCATCAGTGTTATTAAAATACTTAACTATGTCAGAGTTAAAATTTTATTTCAGAAACAAGTGCCTGAGACATGAAAGTAGGAAAATGTCCTCACGTTAAATAGATTAACATTGTAAACTAAATCCGTAACGTTACATATAAGTATATTAAAAATTCGAAAAGATTTTTATGAATAACTATAATCATTTTTTGTATCTTCCTTAATCGTGTTCTTAATTCTTTCTTCTCTCCATGCACTTCTGTTCCCTTCCTTTCTTAATTATTTTGAATATACATCACGTGTATTAATTTTTGTTATTGTGTTTGTGTAACTGTTTGAGAGGACTAGTTGGAATAACTTAAATTGACGTGTCAAATCCAACTGATTCATGTTTTTAAAAAAAATAATATATATACATTAAAATCAAATCAAACCTATGATTTTTGTATTTTTTACAACATTTACAAGCACCTGACGAATGGATGGTGACCCCCGCCCCCTTCCCGCTTCTGAGAATTTTTATCAGACACAAAAACATGTCAAAAAGACATGACCTAGTCTATCATTTTTACATTTCGATATCTGTTATCATTTCCCACTTTTGTTAACGAAATATAAGAATGATAGACTAGGAAATCACTATACATATTTTTGATAACTTTTTTGTGTCTATTAAAAATTCTCAGAAGCGGGGGAGGGGGGATACGTCATCCATTCAACAGACAATCTCAGTCCCCTGTGATGCAAATATTACAATATCTTTTATCTGTTGATGTAGACAAATATATCTTCCCCTTTCTATCAAAATCTTTATGGCAAGAGTATAACATATATGCACTAAGTCTCAACCTCAGTATATATCCACATCACTAGAAATTATCAAAAACAAAATATGTTTTAGTTTTGGTGAAGTATGAATCTTTGCATATTCCTCTTGTAAGCAATAATGTTTATCAAAAATATTTAATCTCAATTGATTGTAAGATTTCTTTTAACCTCTAGGCCTAGTATTCGTATAAAAGTTAAACTATCAGGACCACATGACATTGGAAATAATTTTTTGTAGATTTTGAATTTTCGCGGAATCGGTCTACTTCTCAGTATGAAACTTTATACGTCACTTCCTTGTATACAACAGGCACGCCCACAGCACGCGGTTGAACCATTTGAGGTAAGTAATGGTTTATTTACGTTACCAAACGCGTAACTGGGCACATAATTGTAAAATTGACAACCATCAATACAGAGATGTTGAATAAGGATATAATTTGTTCATTTTTTAAATGGTGATTTCACCCATTTCAGACAACAGAAAATATTGCTTGTGTAATCCGCCAAATCGCCAAACGAGGTCAAGACAAAGAAAAGCACGTTGTTTTGTCAGTGGACTTTTAGATCATGATCATGACTTACCAAGATCAAACAGATATCGACTACGAAACAAGTCTGGCGGCTGAGGGGCTCGTGTTAATGTCAAATATGGTCGCTTCGAATATGGTGCATCGAACAGCTGACGAGAAAAATATGGCAGACGTAACCAACGCAGAAAAGAGAGACTCTTTGTTTAATCTGGCCAGCATTTTGACAGATTTGGGAAAGTTTAGACGAGAACATATAGATCATGACTATTTCAGTGGAGAAATGAAAAGGATTCATTTAAGATCTTTACAAAATGATGAAAGTTTCATTGATAAATCTACGAAAGACAAGAAACGAAAGCGCGCAAAAGCGACCCCGCCCACTTCAGTAGCTGAAGGTTCCGACGAAGATGACAGCTCTGTGTGTAATCCAAAGAAGAAGCTACACCAGTGTTATTACAAAGGATGTGCCAAAATGTATGGGAAAAGCTCACACTTAAAAGCACACCTGCGTACTCATACAGGTAAACAAGCTTTCACTCCACGTGGGGGAGGGGGTGTACGTGATAATTAAGTTATTATAACGCATAGGTTAATGAGACTACAGTTATTCTGTTTTGTTTTTTTCATTAGACGTTTCTTTTATTTGATACAATAGCAGTGGTCAGTGGCCTATACTGTTGGTATACATTATTTGCAATTATCTCCATAATGTAACAAGGTTAGACATGTTTAGACCATGCTAAAACTTCTTTCATTTTGTGAAGCCCAAGTAAAATAATACCGTTATTACATATTTCTTTAATTGAATATTATATTTCTCCCTGTTAAACTTTTTTTTATGAAAAGTTAAGTGTCACATTTCTAATTAAATGAGTTTTGTTCTCTGAATTCGTAGCAATTGCCAATTAAAATGAAATTAATTTCTCATTAGTAAATTGAGTGACATTGTTTGATTTTCCTTCTCTGATCTCTGTGTTTGGCATTTCAATTGACCCTGACTGTGACTTTTCAGGAGAACGTCCATTCCCTTGTACCTGGTCGGGATGTGATAAGAGATTTGCCAGGTCAGATGAATTGGCCAGACACTTGCGAACACACACAGGTAACTTCATTCTGGAGACATCATTATAAACCTCAATCTGTTCTTATTAATTTATCATAACATAATTTTATTTCTGTCATCTAATTAACCTTCTACATTTGAATATTTGATGAAATAATTTAAATTGTTTTACATTTTTTTACTTAAATGTATTTAATGTCAATATAAAAAAGTGAATTTGATATTTCCACACATTTAATAAAATACCTTTATAATATATAATTTTTGGATTGTAGGTGAGAAACGTTTCTGCTGTCCGTATTGTGACAAGAGATTTATGAGAAGTGACCATCTCAACAAACATGCCAGGCGACACCCTGAATTCGATCCCACTGTCCTTCAAAGGTCAAGGTTAAAGAAAAGCAATACCAGTCCATTAACCACTAGCAAGGAAAGTGAACGATGAAAATTAAAATTAAAGAAAGGCCAGAAAGAATCTGATTATAGTATATATTTCCAAAGAACAGAATATCTACAAGTATCTGTTCCTGAAGTCTAAGATTTCATGTATATGTAGGACAGAATTATAATGGGCTGTTCTAAACTATAGACATCATTTGGGATTTTAATCCTGACAGGTTGGCCAAGAAGGTAGATTTCTACAGACTTCAAAATAAAAAATAAATTTTCAGACAGGCAGACATATCAAAATGTGCTGATGAAAAAGTTTATCTGTAGCAAAGTATATTCATCCATGTATGTTAAAAATGTTTTAGATTTTGTATTGTTGTGCAGCTGAGGGATTTCAATGGAATGCTTGATCTCAGTATGTTTCTAGTGCATAACAGGTTTGAAGCCAAAAAGAAAATCAATGCAATGTGTGAAAGTTGAAAATGGCTAAATGTGTTTTCTATTGAAATGTTAACTTGAAACTTTTAAAAATGGATCTGGTAAATTTATTATGTTTATTAATTTCTCTGTTTTTTACCTCATATTGACTACACATATTCATTGCAATCTTTTGTAATAATTGCTTCTCTGCAATACACTTTTTTCATTTGTGTGAATGATGCGTTACCAGGATCTGTGGACTTAAAGGTTTTGTTTTGGTAGATGAAATTGACTTGATTATTAAATTAACTTTTCCAGAGCAGTAAACCTCTTGCCTGCCCTTGCCTGTGATCTGATTTTGAGGCTGTTGTTTTGAGTGACTTTTAGCCATGGTTGTGCCTTTCTAAACATGATAGAGTTATCCCTCCCCCTCTTTGTTTTGTTATATTTTTTGTTTTCTATGAAACTTCATGCATTGATTCCTGAGCTGAGTGTGATATAGATTCATGTTACTTAACTTTTGTTGATATTTCATTGTGTGTTGAATGATAATTATGAGGTGTCCTCAACAAAAAAACATTTTTACAAAGAAATCCCTGTTTTCTACAAATGTATATTGCTTACTTTCTAGTGCTCACTCTTCTTCCAAGTTAAACAATTTATACATGTATTTACATAGATTGAGGAGAAGAGAAATGATTTTAGCATCATGTATAGCTACATTTACTAACTGCCAGATCTGTGTTCTTATTAGTTGTCTGGGTATTAAAATATAGCAGTAAAAAACAAACACACTTATCTTAATTTACTAAGGGGAGATTACCCACTGGTCTACTTGACCAAGAAAGATAAAACTACAATACAATAGCTACAATACAATCTTAGGATTGTATGTACTAGGGATTTAGATATCATTTTGGTTATGTACATACATTGTGCAAAAGACTTTTTATGTTAGTTAATACTAGAGTCCTACAAAGACTTAGTAGATAGCTAATAATAAAAATTGTTGCTTTTATTAGTGAATTAATGTTTACATGAAGTTATTTAACTTTCATTCCATTCTGTCATATGACTGTGTTTTAAAATTTCACAAATATTAGTTAACACTCAACAGTGATGAATTTATAAAAATATGTGTATGATATTGATGTAAGAAAATGTGATGTAAATCAGGCCAAGTACTTTTCATACCAAGTACTCTTCATATATTATTACTGTAGGAATAAAAGTATTGTATGCATTGTAGATATTGTAGGACTAGAAGTATTGTATGCATTGTATATTTTACACTCCCATTGGATGATTGGTGCTATATTCCATTGTTCCAAGTGATAACAAGATCTGTCCATGTTCATTTTCTCTGTAGACATTTTCTCTGACAGGTTCTAGAAGCTGATCTGATGTTATATGTACATGTAATATAAGGAGTATCTTGGTATTTTTTCCTCACATGTAACGTTTATCATTTATAGATCTGATACTGTGTATTAACTGAACCACCCACTGAATCAGTGAATTCCATTAACATCTAAACATTAACAGTTCTAAATGTATCAAAAGCTGCCTATATAGAACAATTTTTTTAAATAATATGTCACATCCCAAAAATACAGCTCTTATTTATTGCATTGGAAAATAATTTGTCAAAATTTTGCACTTTATAAAAAATCTATTTAGGTTACTATAGCTTTTGAACAATTAAAATGAAATACATGTAACTGGAAGTCTGCATTTAGGGTGATGCTTTATAAATGTCTTTCTTTAATTGACCTGTGTAGAAGTTTTAATGTCAGGTTTTGGTGCCAGTTGAGGGTATATTTTTTCTTGCAGAAAGAATCAGACAAAGTTGCCATTTTCAAAAGAGAAGGTAAAAAATGTATATATTTTGTAAAAATGTTTGTACGTTAGATTTTATGAGAAAAGGGATATGTTAATCTGATTTTAGTTTTTTTCATCCCATATTTTGAGTTGTATTATATCTGTAAATAATTTTATTTTTGTTGATGTTGAACTCTATATATCTATTTAATTATATTGTGGCTGTTTTTACGTTTGTGACAATAAATACATTTTTGTCTTGTACTGATTGGAATTCATATACATACCTGTGTTGGAAATCACCCATTGATTAAAACAAAGCAAGTAAAGCACTGCAGTTACATTTAATGACATGTCAACTTGCTGGATATAACTTAATATAATTCACAAAAAAATAGAAACGGCAACATCATCCAATCTAATTAAAATTAGATTTTCCGAACCCGCTGCCACTTCTCAAATTAATTCAAGTAGATTGCAACAAAGTTCATACATTTGGAAAAATTAGGGAACGAGAAAGATCTTCAAGTAGTAACAAAGATTCAGGTGTTCCAATCATAACCACAGGGTGGGTTAGGGGGCCCTATAAGTGATCAAGAGAGTTTAAGATAGGAATACATAGGAAAAATATTTTTATTTTTAAGTTTTCGATCTCAAGAACAGCAAAGGCGTAATTTGACATAGAAGCATATTGAGTCTTCAGATATAAGTTTGTTCAACTCATGACAGCCAGGGATAGGGGTGGACTGGCGTAAGACGGAATTAACTTTTCTTAAATGTTTTTATTTTTAATACCATTTACTGTTCTCATCGTGTTTAACCTTAAGACAGCTATGGCGTTCTCTAGTAAAATCTATAGGATTAGCTTCCGAAGGTTACTTGCTTGACTAATGCACGGCGAAACCACAGGTGCTTGGGGACGGGACCCTTCCGTGTTCCGGACTCCAAGGGTTCTTGGATTTTTTTGATTAAAATATTTTTCTATGACATGGCAAAACGGGGATTAGTAAATTCACAACGATTAAATTTAATAAAAAGAGATATAACAGAAGAGGTAAAATGATCACTGTAAATAATGTAATTTAAAGTAATGCAACAGATCTTTGCTTTTGATAATTACATATAAATACAATTTTTCATGGTCTGTGTATGTATGAATAAAAACAAGAAAATCTTCAAAAGTGCTAGGAAAATTTTAAACAATATTGTCTTGCATTCCCTGTTCCAGCAGACTCTAACTTTGTGTGTATAATGTGAAATTATAAATATCCAATAAAAAAAATCGCAGTATTCAATCATTTGGGCAAAAAAGTGATGGTTTGCTTCTTATTTCTAGTGGTTTGATGTCTCTCACTTTTTTGATAGAGTTTTATTCACATGGGTTCGCCACAACTTAATTGTCTTCTTTTAAAGTTCACCCCTATTCTATAAACTAAAACCATTGCACCTTCAAGCGCAAAATGAAAGACAGCGAGTGCGAGTATTTTATTTTTAAAATATACATGTACTAAAAATTAAAGAGATTGAGAGCAAATGCTATATTTTTACATGTAACAGAGTTTAATTTGGCGGCTTTGTGGTCAACATTAAGCTTGAGCAAGCTAACAAAAGGTGCAATTTATTGCTCTTTCAGTTATGAACACGGTTTATAAAAAGAAGAAAAAAAAAATCTAATTTAAAGAATGGCATCAAAACATTTCATTTCAAGCATAGACGTCGGAACCCGGGGGAGGGGGGGGGAGCTTAGCCCCCTTACTTTTACGCAATTTTGCAAAGATAGACATGATAAAAGCATCAGTTGAGCATAATGGGGCGTAGGTTTAGCCCCTCCCCACTTTCAACACACAGAATTTGCAGTGTATTCAAACAAGGGTAAATGGTAGTAGAAATTTTGGGGGAGAAACTGGTACTGACTACTGAAAGAATTTTGATCCTACCCCCCCCCCCCCCCCCCCCCCCCCCGAAAATCTGATTTTCGTGTTTGGACAATTTACTATTGTCCTTTTTTACGCTCTTTCAATTACCCCCCCCCCCCTTTCAATTTGCTTCCGACGCCAATGTCAATAAAGTATTCTTTGGTCCAAAGATGCCTGTGAACAAGACCCTTTGAGCACTATTTTTACATTACCAGTCTATAGTAAGTTGCAGTTCTATATGGATGTCTATGATATCAATCTGATTGAAATTCTAGCGCAAAGCGCAGAACTCTCTGTGCTTTGCGCTACAGATACTCAACAACCAATTCCACTCTGTGTATACCAATGAGAACACCAGCAGCATGCCAGACAAGGGTCCTAGCCCCTACCCGGACATGCATCGTATAAGAGTGTCACAAAATGGAGTCTACAAGCTTCTTAAAAACATCAAAGTCAACAAAGCCACTGGCCCTGACGAGATACCAGCTAAGCTTCTACATGACCACGCTGAGCAACTTGCACCAATATTAACATCCATTTTCCAATCTTCTGTAGACACAGGAAGGATTCCAGATGACTGGCGACGGCAAGTATTGTTCCAATTTTCAAGAAAGGGGACAAACATTTAGCTTCTAACTATCGACCTGTATCTTTAACATCTATCCCTTGTAAACTGCTGGAACACATTATACACAGCCAAGTCATGGACCATCTAGATGAGAATTCCATCCTCTCAAACAGTCAACATGGATTCCGCTCTAAGCGTTCCTGTGAAACTCAGTTGGTGTCCACCATAAACAGTATAGCCTAGAACCTTGGAGAAAAAGGCCAAGTAGACATCATCCTGCTTGACTTTTCTAAAGCCTTCGATAAGGTCCCCCATCAGCGGCTAGCTCATAAGTTAAACTACTACGGGGTACGAGGCACCACTCTCCAATGGATTAGAGACTTCCTAACAGATAGGACACAGCAAGTACTTCTAGAGGGCCATACTTCCTCAACTGCACCAGTGGTGTCAGGATAGCCACAAGGGACAGTCCTAGGACCCCTACTGTTCCTCTTCTATATTAACGACCTACCGGAAAGGACCCTGTCAGATACTCGCCTTTTTGCAGATGACTGTCTCCTTTGCAGACCCATCACAAATAAGGATGATGCAGTCACCTTGCAAAAGGATCTCAACTCTCTGACCAGATGGGAGGAGGACTGGCAGATGGCATTCCACCCAGAAAAATGTGTTGTTATCTAAGTTACCAGAAAGCGGAAACCCATCACCGCTACTTATTCTATACATGGGCACCTCCTAGATGTGGTTGATTCCAGCAAATACCTTGGAGTTAGTAAAGACCTACGATGGGACAACCACATCAGTAACATCACATCAAAAGCCAACAAGACACTGGGCTTCATCAGGAGGAATATGAGGGGATGTCGGACATCTGCAAGATCCGCAGCATACCAGGGATTAGTACGACCGATTCTAGAATACGCCTGTGCAGCATGGGATCCCTGGAACTCCAAGCAAGTCCGTCAGCTGGAGAAAGTGCAAAGACGAGCAGCACGATTTGCCACCAAAAACTACCATGATAACCACCCTGGGAGTGTTACCCAGATGCTACAAGATCTACACTGGGAAGCATTACAAACAAGAAGAATGAAGATAAGACTCGTCTTGTTATACAAGATTGACCATGCTTTGGTGGCTATCCCTGCAGATATGTACCTGACACCCAGTGAAAGAAGGACCAGAGGCAGCTACACGTACCGTCTACCACACACTCGGATCGATGCACATCGATATTCCTTCTTTCCGAGGACAATTCTAGACTGGAATAACTTACCATCTGTAGTTGCCTCAGCACCAACATTAGAGTGTTTCCGGACACAGCTGGACTCATACACAAGGAGCCAGCTGCCCACCAACACCAAGTAAGTAGTGTGCCAGTTTTTAACTTTTTATTGTACATAGTGCCCTGATCGGGTTTTTAGCCTTGTCCGTCGCGTGTGACAGTCCGAGTTCAACGCTCTAGTAAGAGTAAACTCGTATGGGAAGAAGAAGTACAGATATGCACTAGGGCCTATAAAAAAAAAGATTCTAAAATATTTCGACTACCTATTCTAAAATTCTGTTTATATATATACATGTTTTTTCTTTTGTGTAAATGGTCCTTTATTCTCATGTAATTAAACTAATCGAAGTTGCCACGCACTTTCTGCAGGCGTGATAAATATTTTTCATATGAAACGGAGCATACATAAACCACTTGTACACGCCGATTCTACAAATTAAATACATCGGGTTCGTCATACTCCTTATCAACTTCCGAGCCGGTTTCGTACACGCAGGCAAAACTGAAAAAAGAAGAAAAAATGGGTAAATATTTATAAATAAATGACAGAAATGTGTAGTGCATAAGAGAACAGTGTACAAAATATGTCTATTGTAAATGAATGATAATGACAGATGCAGAGCATGAGTTTACTCAAAAGCAAAGCTTAAAGGTTGAAAAAAAACGTGAGCAACTAGAGTGGGGAGGGGGGGGTGAACAGACTCTTATTTCACATACAGGACAAAACCTACTTATTGGTTAGGGGTGCCCTGTACAAAACAGTTACCTGTGAAATGAATTTGTGTACAGTCAACTCAGATTCAATGCTGGCTACTAGTAATAATAAATATTGTAAAGGGTTTCAAATATCATGCTTGAGGTCAGCATTTTGCTATTTCTATGGTGGTTATTATATAATGATTATGTTTGTAAATATAATCAATTTTTTAGCAATATTTAACTTTAAATGACATAATTTTTTATGGCAATTTGTTAGGCCAAATTGTTTTTATGCCAGTTGAACTGTAGGTTGCAAGACTTAGAGGGCTCAACAGTCTAGTCAAACCCCCAAAGGGGGGTAAACGGAAGTAGGAAAACCCTACCCTCAAACGGGGGTACGCGCATGGGCAGACACTGAAAACAGTGCCGTTTTCACGGAAAAACGTGTGGTCCACAAAATATGCTGGTGCAAAGTGATGGATTATTTCGTAGCTCTGTATGTACTCAAATTTGATAGATTAAAAATGTTTAAAGAGATAGTATTATGAAAAAGTATATGTTTATTGCAAAAATCGAGACTTTTTCTCTCCCAAAGTTAGCGTTTTCTGTGCCTTGACCTCCATGCTTGATACAACTAGATTTTTTTTTATTCATAATTTAATAAAACGGATGAATAAACAAACAATGGTTTGTTTAAAGTTGAACTACATATAATTCCCTTCCCAAGTATTACAAATTTTGTGTAATTGACATGTTATTTATTATTTTTCGACACTTTCTTGTGTGCCCATCCGAATTTCCTCTGTCCTGTAAACAAACTTCTGTGCTTCAAAAATGAGGTAAATAAAAACGAAAAAAAAAAATTATTTTTTTCAATTGAAAACAAAGGTGTAGACAATTCATTTTCGTATGTTTGCGATTTTTGAAAAAAATATTTATTTTTTAAATAAGAAGAGTTATCGTTTTTAAATTCCACTTCCGCTTTCGCGTGTTGCATTAAGGGAAGGAAAACCCTCGTTTGAGGGTATACCCCCGTTTGAGGGTTCGACTAGACTGCTGAATGCTGGGGACACTGGTCAAGAGGGGATGTTTTATCCTCCCTGGCACTAGATCTATAGCTTTTAGTGGTCTGAAAAAAAATGAAGTAGATAACTAGAGAGCTATGGCGCCACACATTATGATGCATAGAAAAAGCGGTATATACCGGTATATATTGATCAGCAAAAAGTTTTGCCCGGTTCTGGATTGAATTTTCTAACTTCTTGCCTGAAGAGCACATAAACTCTATTTCAATCAGTTCCCTAATTTTTCTGGTATGAAATCTGCATAAAGTGTATTTTCTGGTAGACTAAATTATCCCTCTACCAAAGTGGCAGTATAATTAAATGAAACTTTCGATGGTCTCAATTTCTATTCCAGCAGGGCTATTCACAATAATTATGATAAGGCCATAATAAATAAATTGCTAGATTCTCATTGGAATTTTTTTAAAAATGGAGGCGGGCGGGCGGGCGGCTTTTATTTTATATTTTTTCAATTTTGCAGATTTTTTATTGACCTGGTCAGTCGGTGTAATTTTATCTACAACACCCAAATAAAAGTCTTAGTAAAGGTTCAATTATCTCTTAATTCACATCATCACCAGTCTTTTTAAACCAATGACCCTTGTTTAAAATATATATGCATGCATTACAGCAATTACCATCTTTTCAGCTGTCAAAATCATCTTCTTCACATCTTCTCCACTTTCTAGCATTGGTCAATCAACTACCTTTCACTCCCTAATTCTAGGCACATAATTTAACTAATCTGTATATTTTATCCATTTCCCAACCCTTTATAGTCCTCTCTACAAGTGATAAACTCGTTTTATTAAAATTATTTGTTAGATAGCTGAAAATTCACTTCAAGCGAGTTTATTGCCTGTGGAGACAACTATAAATGGTTGGGAGGGGGATTAAATATACATATTTGCTACAGAATATGTCTAGAATTGGGGAGTGAAAGGTAGTTGATTGACCAATGCTAGAAAAAGGAAAAATTCTCCCCAAAAGTGAGCCAAAAAATATTGCACCGTAAATTGCACCTTTTTTGTGGTATGGGATCTGTAGCGTTATGGTCAAAGACATATATATAAAAACATAACGCTACAGATCTGCAGCTAGCTAGGTCAGTGGGTGGCACTGTAGCTCTCTGGTTGTCCCGTTTTGTTTCTCAAACCAGCCAGCTTCAGATCTGCATGTAATATGGTCTTATCCAAAGGACCAGTTTCCATGTCTTCAGTGCCATTTGAATGCAATATAAGGAACAGCTCCTTACTATGTGACTCTAGAGCAAATTTCCTTACCACTGTGCCTTGTGGGTAATAAACATAATCACAGCATATTTTCTTTGCAGCTGTTTCAAGCGGTACGTCTTGTGTGCTGTCCTTCACGATGGCCTTGACATCGTTTGCTGCCATGCAGATGTTCAAACAACAGTTGGCTGGATCGGAGTACATGACCATTGTGGGGGGACTTCTCGGCAGTTGTGTCTTCTTCTTTATTCTTGTTGTATCCTTTTGCTGTAGTCAGTAGACTCTGGAACAATTTCAGTATGCACAGGCAGTAAAACGTCAAATTAAAATGGGCATGGTTTCATAGTGTGTACCCCTTTAGTTTAACAAAGTTATCGTTTTTCAAGCTCAAGTGAGCTTTAGTGATCACATTTTGTCCGGCGTCCATCTGTCAGTCAATCTGTAAACTTTTCACATTTTCTACTTCTTCTCAAGGACCACTGAACCAGTTTCAACCAAACTTGCTTCAAAGTATTCTTGGGTGAAGGGGATTCAAGTTTCTTCAAAGAAAAGGCAATACTTCATTCCAAAGGGAGATAATTAAAAATAAGTGAAAATTAATTGCATTTTTAAAAATCCTCTTCTCAAAAAAAACCATTGGGCCAAGAAAAATGAAGCTTATGTAGAAACATCCTCATGTCATGTAGATTAAATTTTGTTCAAATCATGACCGGCAAGGGGGGGGGGGGGGGGGGGGGGGTGGTGTAACGTGGAATGAGCCAGGCTTTCCTTTTCAAATCAAAACAAGAATTTCTTCAAAGAAAACAAGAATTTATTTACACAAAAAAAAAAAAGAAATAAAGAAAAGACAATTAACAAATAAATCACACACACACACTCACTCAAATGATCGTAACCAAAAAAAAAATGTTATTTACAATGATAAAAAAAAAATGATCAAAAGATGTTTAAACAGCTGTATCAACTATCAACACGTGTTCTCAAAAACTCAAACCAATTTAGAACTCAATTTCAATCATTACTAGTATTGTCCATCCATTTCTCAATCAAGTCCAACACTGTCCTTAAACCTCCCAAGCCTCCGGGGCTGTAGTCCCAGACTGTGGTTGGGATCAATGTTCACAAGACTAGTACTGGAGATTCCCGCGACTAAGTCGTAGACATCATCATCGTCGTCTTCATCAACATCATTGTCATCATCGTCATCGACACCATCATCAACATCACCGACATCATCGTCGTCATCATCAGATCATCGACATCATCGTCGTCATCATGACATCAGTTACCACGAACACCTCAGCATGGTGCTAAAATATTAACTTTCCTTTATCAGTAAAATAATTAGGTACTCTACATATGGCAATACTATAATATGATTATACTGGCTTTAATTAATAACCATATAATTATCTTGAGTTCAATATAACATAACACTTAAATGCTTTCAATATCTTCAGTTTGTTTACAGTTGACATAGATACAAAATGGCTGACAATACTTCCGGTAACTTACTTCCGCTCAGACATTTAAATGAAAAAGTAATACAGCGAACAAAAATACAATAAAATAAAGAAACAGGCTGTTCTTTAAATGTATAGAATTACACTAACAGCGATAAAACTTCTGACGAGAAAACCTATTCAAACACTCTCGCTAACGTCACACCTGAACGCACACACAGGTAAGTCATTGATGACTGCCTGCCAAGGTGAATTAATGTAACGAATTTTAAAAGTACATTTAACATAACTAAAAAGTACTTGCAAAGTATACTTACCACGGTCTGTTTTCCGTGCAGAAATATACTAAAATGTTGCAGTAGACTTGCTGTAAGTCATAGGGACAAGCTGGTGCAAAACTTTACCAATCTGTCCTGACCCTTTATATCGTGTCTTACACGGTGGACAGTTCTGCCGGGAATACCTAGCTATTGTTACCTGTCCTGTCGGCCAGAATTCTGCAGGGAATTCTGGGTGCTTACCAAAGAGGTGCTCGAAGGGCGAAACTTTATACAAAACAAGGGGTACAGTGTACCCTATAGGTTATATTAGTGATTGTTACAGGTGGGCACAATTGATGATCAATGTTTTACATTGAAATATATATAGGGAAAAAACTTTAAAAATCTTCTGAGGATCAGCAAAGCCATGATTAGTAATATTTCTAAAGAAATCTGAAATACCCTTGGGTAGTGTGGATTCATGGTTGTTAAATCATGACCCAGGGGAAAGGGCAGGGCCTCTGTGGAGAATTGAAGTTTTACATAGGAATATATAGGAAAAATCTTAAAAAAAACTTCCTCTAAGGAATAGCAAAGCCATGATTGGTCATGTTTAAATCATACATGGAAGCATCCTCAGGTATAGTGTAGATGGCAGTTTGTTAAAACCTTGATCCCAGGGCGAAGTTGGGACTGTATAAAAGTTCAAACTTATAGGGAAAAAAGCCATAGTTAGAAAAAAAATGTAAATGTCCTTAATTAGACAGTGTAGATTCAAATTAGCATAGAATTAAATTTGTTCAATTCATACTCATTTTTTATGGTCGGGACAACTTATGCATTTAATGAATTGATTTTTGCCTGTTCCTAGTCATTGCACATGTGAGTGATGTAGCCCATGGGCCTCTTGTTATATATTAAAAATTACCATGTTTTACTGTCACCCAATATTTTGGAATGTTTTTGGTCCCAGCAAGTGTAATAAGTAATACAGAGTAATAAATAAATAACTATTTATCAGATTTAAGAGTTGAAACTACAGTTGATAAGAATTACATGCACAACTAATCTTTTACCTTTTAAACTTAAAGAATACCTGGTATATCATACATTAGTTAGGCCATTCCAAGTTTTTTCTCTGTTTAGCGTCCATTTATCTTTCAAAAACCTACCTACCTATTCGCAAAAAACACACAAGCCAAAACATAAAACACAAGCTTAAAAGTCATAAAAATGACATCCTTCAAATGATTTGATCTAACTAAACTGCTTTAATAGAAGAAATATCTATTCTTTAAGCAAAAACAATGGATTAAATGCTTACAAAACACCCAATATAACTTACTGTACAGAATTATTTGGAGAAATTTACAAAATTCAAAAATTTCGACAAAATTTATCATTTTCAGGACTCCTGTTATTGTGTGTTTTTTCTCATATGGGGTGTCAAAAACCAAAGCGCACGTGGACGCTAAACATAGAAAAAACTTGGAATGGCCTTACCACATATATTTCAGATTATCCTTAATTTTTGTTCAGGGAGTTGGTAATTTAGAAAGCACAATGTTTGGCAGTCATTTTCAGACCAAGCTTTTCCCAGAAGGTAAGAAAAGTGTGAAATAAAAAGAAACATTTTACTTCAGAATAAACTAATCACAGTTGTTTTACAAGTTGTGTATGTATATGTGAATCAGTGTGCTGACGGTGAGTCGGTTAAGACGATGGTCTGACTTTGTGCTTGGTCTAACAATTAATCTGTTTGTTATTTCAGTATTGTTCTGTCTGGCGGCAGCCATGTTTGCCTCGGCCCTGGTACACCGTGTTTGTGTCACAACTTGGTAAGATAACCATGATAACTCATGAATCTGAAATGGCTTTGAATTGATAGTGGTCCTGGAAATGGGTTATACATGTATAATGTGATGGAGGCATTTATATGGAAGAAAATTAGAAAAAAAACACATGAAAGGGGATTGAAAGTAAATTTGTTAAAATATTATTGTTTGCAACTAAAAAGTTTCATGTTACGTCAACAGTTGACGGCTGCGCTCAAGGTAAATTGTACACGCCTCCTAACCGCAAGCTTTACGACTGGAACTTTCTTCTTATCCCTGATTAGTGCCTGTGCAACAGACTATTTCCGTGTCAGTGTTGATAATTTGAGTTGACCAATCACTTGAATTGTTTACGCTGGCGAAAAAGATCGTGACATAAAGTGAAACTTTACAGTTAGCTGCAAACTATAATATTTTATTAGGTCACCTGAGTAAACTCAGGTGACCTATTGCTATCTGTTTTTGTCCGTCGTCGTCCGTCGTGCGTTAACATTTAAACATTTTCAGCTTCTTCTCTGAAACCACTGAACCAATTTCAACCAATTTTGGCATATAGCATCTATGGATGAAGGGGAACAAAAATTGTGAATATCAAGCCCCCCTGGGGCTTGGGGGGTGGGGCAAAAACCACTAAAATTAGTGCAATCTTTAAAAATCTTCTTCTTTACTCCCAGACATCAAGCAGTCAAACTATTGGTATGATTGTAATCAATTGAGTCCTCTACCAAAATTGTGAAATTCATGGCCCCAGGGTCAGGGGTTATGGTGTTAACTGTTATATAGAGAAAATGCATTAAATCTGGTGAAAATCTTCTTCTCTGCTACTAGGTATTAAATAAAATTTGAGTACATAGTTATGATGAGCAAGAGTGCCTCTACCTAAATTGTGAAATTTATGGCCCCAGGGTCAGGGGTTCTGGTGTTAGGGCGGGGCTTTTGATTATATAGTGAAAATGCATTATTTCTTTGAAAATCTTCTTCTCTGTTCCTGAGTATTAAATAAACTAATTAAGTTCATAGTTATGATGAGCAAGAGTGCCTCTACCAAAATTGTGAAATTCATGGCCCCAGGGTCAGGGGTTCTGGTGAAAAAGCATTAAATCTTTGAAAATCTTCTTCTCTGCTTCTGAGTATTAAATAAACTACCTAAGTATATAGTTATGATGAGCTGTACAAAATTGTGAATTTATTTCTGGTGTTAGGGCGGGAGAAATTAGTGAAAATGCATTATTTCTTTGAAAATCTTCTTCTTGTTCCTGAGTATTAAATAAACTAATTAAGTTCATAGTTATGATGAGCAAGAGTGCCTCTACCAAATTGTGAAATTTATGGCCCCAGGGTGGGGTTCTGGTGTTAGGGCGGGGCTCTATTGATTATATAGTGAAAATGCATTATTTCTTTGAAAATCTTCTTCTCTGTTCCTGAGTATTAAATAAACTATTAAGTTCATAGTTATGATGAGCAAGAGTGCCTCTACCAAAATTGTTTCATGGCCCCAGGGTCAGGGGTTCTGGTGTTAGGGCGGGGCTAATTTTATATAGAGAAAATGCATTAAATCTTTGATAATCTTCTTCTCTGCTTCTGAGTTTTAAATAATCTAATTAAGGACATAGTTATGATGAGCAAGAATGCTTCTACCAAAATTGTGAATTTTATGGCACAGGGTCAAGGGTTATGGTGTTAGGATGTGGCTCTATAATGTTATATGTGAAAATACATTACATCTATGAAACATTTTACCCCTGGGTAATGAGCAGAATGAACTATTAACATAGTTATGATTGTTTTAATTTCAAGGCCCTTGTGTATACTGAAAATGAATTGTTTGAAATCTGCTCCTTGGTATTAATCAAACATTTTTGATAAGCAAGTGTGCCTTTTCAAAAATTGTGCAATGTGTAGACCTAGGGTCAGGGGTTCATGTGTGGTAGGAGCACTCCTGATTATTGCTGAATATTACTGATTAGTTGACTTTGTGCTTATCCATATTAAGTAAACAAACTAAACAATTGCTAAGTGTATAATTATCATGATTATGATTAGCTGTTTGTTATTTCAGTATTGTTCATGTCAATCATTTGAAAGTTGGCAGCCATGTGACCTATAAGGCCCATGGGCCTCTTGTTTATTTAAAGGAAGTGTAAAGGGTGGGGGGATTTTCAGTAATGGTAGCCAAAATATAATTAACACCTTTGTTCTCTAAATTCCCTATAGGCCACACCGATTTGTAACATATTCTTTGAATCTGAGAGGTGGCTATTGAAATATTTATTTTTTCAGTTTTCAAAATTATGAGGCCTGATATTAGAAAAATTTCTAAGGGTGTGCATACAAAAATCAAGGAAACTAGTGGCAGCTTTCAATCCCCTGAAAAAGTTACACCCAAACAGAGGGGCAAAAATTAAAATAATCCGAGAAGAAATTAATTGCAAAAAGTCGGGTGAATTCTTTTAAAATTAAAGTTAAAAGTTCTCATATCAATATTAATCCAGTTTAAAAAAAAAATTTTCATTTAAATGTTATTTCAATTGCACTAAAATCAAAATCATTTTGTTTTCATCTTAATCATTAAATACACTGGAAATATATTTTATGTGAGTCATAAAACACTGTCTTTCAGTTCATTGGATATCGACAAAAAATTTAATGAGATATCTGCCCATAAATGCAGGAATGTTCGGATTAGGAAAAAACAGGTTTTTGGAAGTAATTAAGTGTATAATGTGATGGAGGCATTTATATGGAAGAAAATTAGAAAAAAAACACATGAAAGGGGATTGAAAGTAAATTTGTTAAAATATTATTGTTTGCAACTAACTGTAAAGTTTCATGTTACGTCACGATCTAGTTGACAGCTGTGCTCAAGGTAAATTGTACACGCCTCCTAACCGCAAGCTTTACGACGATGGATTAGGGTTACTTTCTTTTATCCCTGATTAGTGCCTGTGCAACAGACTATTTCCTTGTCAGTGTTGATACATTTGATTTTTTCCATGAATAAACAATGATTAATTTTTTTCCAATCACTTGAATTGTTAACGCTTTTGGCAAAAGGCCAAAAAAACTCGTATTTAAAATTTTTTTCGTGACATAAAGTGAAACTTTACAGTTAGCTGCAAACTATAATATTTTATTTATTTAAAGGAAGTGTAAAGGGTAGCCCCGGTTGTTTGGATATGCTAATTTTCACCCCTAGTACATACAAAGAGTTAATGGTAGCCAAAATATAATTAACACCTTTGTTCTCTAAATTCCCTATTAGACCTGATGACAGCTGCCCTTCCTCCATCCTTTAGAGAAGGACATTTAAATAGCAAAAGTTGATCTGCTTTAGTGGAAGATTTGCAAGACATTTTTGTAGAAATAAAATTAGATATGGACATTTTAATGGACAGTTAACAGTGCTTTTGTTCCTCTTCTCACAAGCAGAGAGATAGAAGTGGGATTTTGTGAAGGATAATGTTAATTAAAATCAATACAGTTAATGTCTAAAATAAAACCAAGTCACCACTGGACAACACTCTTCTCAGGAGATCTCAGCATTGTCTCTATCAATATTCTGAATGGAAGCTCGTCTCAACTGAAAAAAATCTACTGATATTCCCTCGATGCAGCTTAAATGAATTTATTCATCAAAAATGGCCCATAAATCTTGAGACTTCTACCACTAAAATGTCCATTCACACCTTTTGCAATTCTGCTAAAATGTCCTTAGATCCTTTGCTCACTTCCTTAACGCTTACACTGGTCTCTGAATTCCCCATGGTCCTGACTCCCAATGTCAACTCCTTGTGAACTTGTCAGACCACTTGCCCCTCCCCCTTCCACCACCACCATTTTCGGAATTCCACATTGACCTGACCCTGTTTTCAGAATTCCTGTTCTGTATCAAATCTTGGAATGGCTACCTAAAAAGAATTTGACTTACTTTGAACTTTAACTTGATTGAGTTATGTTTAAGGAATCACTGTCTAGGTTAGTATGGTAAGCTAGGGCATCAACGATAGTGGGAAACATGGCATAATTTGCATAATGGGCAAAGCTCGTTATGCATGAATTATCCCATGTTGCCAACTATTGTTGATGTCCCTGGCATACTATACTAACTAGACAGTGATTCCTTGTATTTCCATTTCATTTTGATGCATAGTTGGCCTCCTTAGCATCAGACACAGAGAAAGATGCACACAAGATTTGCATGCATATTAGGCCTTAGCTCCTGACCTATCGACCTGCCTAATTTACATTCCAGTAGCATTATCAAGAAATCAACTCTGCTGACTTTCAAAGAGTTATCACAGAGAAAAAAATTAGAGAGGAAATATTTCTTGTTGAGTTATGTTTCTTGTTGCAATTGAGTTATGTTTCTTGTTCTGACATTGAATGCAACTGAATACACTAATACATGTATATAGATAGCCTAGTTTGTTATGTTATTTTACTTTCAGTTTCCTGTTTTCCTTGGTGGCCCTGTATTACATAAACAAGATTTCTTTAAACAAATATTCAGTTCCGGTGTCAGCAACTCCTGTCAAAGCTTCACAAGGCAAGAAGAGGAAATAGACCTTAAATTGTCATCTGGTGTCATATTCTGTTTACACTCATTCATACTTTATAGAAATAAATTTATATGTAGTATTGAATTTTGTTCTAACTTTGGGTTCACTAGTGTGAGTAAAATCAGCTGCTATACATCGTTTGTGTTCCTTTAATTATCAAGAAAGCTAATTTTAATGACAGAAAAATGCGATTCCCCAGGGTTTCCTTGGTATTATTTATGCACAGTTAATAGACTGGAACATTTTCTTGGTTTGAACAAAATCAGTTTAGAAATTGTAAATATTGCAGAGAAGTGGTTCTGAAAAATTGATAGCCATTCCCTTCATTTCAATTTTAATAATTATAATGGATACATTAAGAATAAATAATCAAGTCTTATAGTGAAAAGAGGCTATTAAGTGATGTTCAAATATTGAAAGAAATGGTTCCCTATTCCCAGCAGCATTTAATGAATTATTTTCCAAGTATTGGTATTGGTATACACTTCATCCATTCATGGAAACAAAATGTGGAAAAATGGCAGGTCTTTGTATAATTGCCTAAGAAGAAGCTTCTCAGTGGAATTGAGATCACCTGAGACATCATCATAGATGTGATAAATGTACATATATTGTTTGTTCAGTGTACTATTTTCAAGCTCACCTGTCCATTGTCTGTCGTTGTTGTTGTCATCATCCTTGTCATAAACTCTTCACATTTTCATCTTCTCAAGATCCACTGGGCCAGTTTCAACCAAACTTGCCACAAAGTATCCTTGGGTGAAGGGGATTCAAGTTTGTTCACGCCTTCTTCCAAGGGGAGATTAATTAATGAATCAGCGAAAATTCAAAGGCATCTTTTAAAAATCTTCTTCTCAAGAACCACTGGGCCAGGAAAGATGAAACTCATGTGGAAGCATCCTCAGGTAGTACAGATTCAAGTTTGTTCAAATCATGACCCCCATGGGAGGGCGGGGCCACAATGGCTAATCAAAGATATACATAGGAATATATAGGGAAAATCTTTAAATATCTTCTCAAGAACAGCAAAGCCATGATTGGTGATATTTATATAGAAGTATCCTCAAGCGGTGTAGATTCAAGTTTGTTCATGCACGACCCCCAGGGGTAGGGTGGGGCCACAATGGACGATCAAAGTTTAACAAAGGAATATATAGGTAAAATCTTTAAAAAAAATTCTTCTCAAGAACATTGAAGCCATTATTTTTCGTATTTATATTTATATGGAAGCACCTGCACGGGTATAGAGTCACGGTTGTACAAATCATGACCCCCGGGGATAAGGTGGGGCCAGGATGGACGATCAAAGTTTAAAATAAGAAGCGTTTGTTTTACATTTAGATATGAAATATATGGAGGAAACGAACAGTATTCAACCTGAAAAGTCCATAAAACAAATGTCCATATAAAAGTCCATAAAACAAAACAAAAAAAGGAGCTGGGCAAACACAGACCTCTAAAACATCAGAGGTGGGATCAGGTGTCATGAAGGAGTAAGCATCCCCTGCCCACCAATTTTTCCAGACAAAGAGGATATAATAATCTAACGACCAATCTAAATGATAAACGTGATGACTTTTCTATTGTCAAATTCTCTTAGTTATGTGGCAAAATATTCTTATCGCATGTATATCGGGCTTATAGCTCCCCATTGATTCGATACGAAAGATCCTGATTTACGTAAGAACACTTTTCAAGGCAAGATGCTGAAAAACAAGTTAATGAAACAAAAATATTAACAGGCTCTTTTACAAGATAGTGCAGTAAATTTATAAAAGAGGAAGAAAAAACATAATGCGCGAAAATGGGAAAAATGGGTTTTTATTTTAATTCATTCATTCAATCTTTATTTTCTTCATTTGGAGATTTGATTACAACATTGGTCCGAAATATCTGACGTTTTTCAGACTTTTTTGCAATACTGATATTTAAAATTACGTTCCTGGCACGTAAAATATCATTTTTTTTTTACATTTTTTTTAAAAAAGGCCTGGAAAACGTAAGATTTTTCGAATAATCAATCACAACATAATTATCTACATCAACACTGTAAAAAAATAACTAGTTAATGTCACGAAGAAAACTAGTAGATTCACCGTCCATACAATCACTACCTTAATAGTACATGTAGTTTTTCCAGATGTTGGTATATTTACTAGATAAGATTAGTAAATTTAGATTTGATGAGTAACTTTCACTAGGTATCTAAGTATCTATACGACCCCCGCTCCACAACTCATTATCTTAACCAGTAAACTGAAAGTTTACTAATCACGACCAACGCTTTACGAAACACACTAGTTAAATTCACTAGGTTTTTCTTTCCGTGAATGAGAAATTATGATATGTATACGATTTGTTTATTGCACTTTGCTTGATAATTCATTTTATTTAGGCATAAACATGTAAGTATTCAAGTAAACGGAGAAAAAAAGTTAAAATTATCCCATACGACAAAGTACATGTACTTGGAACTTCAAAGTGAAACTACAATTGATTCTACTTGCCTAAAACTTCTACATCGAATGTTTACTATTTTCTCGATCCAAATTCGCTTTAATTAAAGTATCCATAAATTGGTTAATCGGTTTTCCATGAAAGATCGGCATTTTTATTTAATTAAGGCGACAATTTTGTCCTTTCAATGATCAAAACATGATACTTTTGGGGGAAATTGACTTGCCAGATCTCCGTCATGTGGTTATTACCTTTTCTTTGAAATACAGAAAAAATACAGCAGACATCATATACCCGAAGACAGTAAAGTGGAGTCATGTTGAAAAGTGTTTGATTAAAAAAAATCTTTTTTAAAAAAGTCGTTGATAATTTATATGTATCCAACTTAAGAAAATCATGGTAGAAAACCATTATACTTGCATCCTGGTAAGGGAATGCATTAGATTTTGCTTGTACTGATGAATTTTATTTAAGGTCGTAACAATAGTTCTACGAATCTACGATCCATATACATGTACATGTACACGTTTATAAAATGTCACAAAAAACCTCATGTCAACACAGAACGTGGAGACGTTTTGGTGTGAACGTTAGAAGGGAAATTAATGTATTTACAATATTGCAAGCCTATAGTCTAAGAAGCCAACTCGAGCTAAGTGATTCAACTTTTACTACACTTGATTTCATTTTAATTTACGAAATTTAATTTTGTTTCTTGTTACATGTATCTTAGAAATCAAATTTATAGCGCATGTCTGAGTCTTTGAACGTTGAACGCTATAAGAATCAATGCAATTCCACCAGGAAGGAAATTATTTCTGCACAGTCTTGTTAAACTTCATGAAAAGTTGTACCATTCCTCTCAATCTTAATCGCAAATCCAGTGTTAACATTATTTGAGTTTTGTGCTTGAGAAAGGAGAAACCAAGTTATATCTTTAATTTTCTTAAAAGTGGATGCGATTGATTAATCATACAAAAGACTTGTGAGATTGCTTTCTGTGGAATTGATCATGCGAACTTCCTGTTTCATTGTTGGCCAAGAAAAATTCAAAACACCAAACAACCTTTTTATGTACATTAAGCTATTATTTAAAAATAGTCTTTATTTTTCCACCTGTGATTTTTCAAGCCTTTTAATTTTGTTACATTTTTATGTTAGTTAATTAAACAAATGGTCTGTATCATTTTGCTGCGTCCCCCGCTCTATTGATGAATTCCCTGTCTGTTTGGCTATCTAAGGTGACTGTTGACTTTGATTCAGATAAAATCATTATTGCTGCTAGAATATTCATTTCGACAGATCCCCAAATAAACATTTCTATTATCAATTTTAATATTCTTCAATACAGTGCTACTGTAAACATTGTTAATGTACTACGCTGTAATTTTGTCTTTACTTTATGTGTCATTCAATATTTATACAACAGATATTATATTTCACATACTTCCTCAATTTTAGTTATCTATCCACCGATTCGTTAACTAAAATCTGGTAAATTTCACGGTAGAGTTTCAGGAAAGTGTCCGATCAATGGAATCGATGATGAAAGCGCCCCACAGGAGCTGAGACAATAGAGAGGTCGCTGTCATTCGTCTCAGGTGTCTCCGTGCATAAGCTACAGGTAAGTCGCTGTTGTCTACCTTCTGTTGCCTTCTACAAAACTGCTACATGTAAAGCTAAATATGCAGTGAAATTCACCGGTAAAACTTTTTTATTCTTTGTAACTTTTTATGATTTAAAAATTATATACATGTTTGAAATATGATTTTCAAATATTTGCAAGTTTTCTGGGTTAACCAACAGTTGTAAATTAATGCATCGTAATTTAGAAATAGCGTTTTATCGTCGTGTTAACGTTTAGTTTTACATCGCACGCAAAAATTTCCTACTGAGACCATCAAAGGAAGTCAAAGTCTTTTAAAGAAAATGCATAATCATTGAATCTTTGTTAACAATTTCTAAATGTACAATACAGTTAAACTGAATATATGCGGTTATAAAGGTTATTGTAAATTTTGTAGTTAAAAACATTAAAAGTTAAAATTAAACCCCCTCCGCCTTTTTAAATACATGTATATAACATTCTTTTTGATATATAGTCGGTAGAAACCAGAAAGATAATTTTGTATTGTTTTGATAAAACAAAAGTATTATTGTTTTATTTCTTAACTATCTATTCTTGGAAAATGTTTAATTATTTTTAGTAATATTTAACCATAGAACACAAAATAGGTACTAGTATACAGTGTATAAGCATTTCGAGAACATACATTTTTACGATTCACTTGTACGAAATACAGAAGTTTTTTGCCCGTTATAGGTGATAATTTGAGTGCTAGATTGTGAATCATTCATTGTTTTGTCAAAGATTGTCCTTGTTTACCCACAGAAAACACTAGCTTTGTTTTGTTTTAACGTATTAAACATCGATCGCTTCTATGGGGCCGAGTCGTGTCTGATTAAATAAACGGTGAAAGTATTTATTTTTATTCTTAATTTTTAATGTTACCTTCGTTAAAACAAGGTTTTTGGTCAAATACAGCTATAGAACATGGGTGAACTTTTATATGTGTGTGTGTGGCTGAATTTGGTATAGACATTTTCAATTCCAGACTGATTGGCCTAGATGGTTTTAATCATAAAAGGAATGAACATCCAGCCTTCGCCTCCCTTGAAGTTTTTAGTTGGTGATTTTTGTTTGTTTGTTTGTTTGTTTTAATTATCATAGTTTTTGTATTTTTAAAAAAAATATCTCTATGAATTATGCTAAACCTTAAAAGTTGATGGTCTTTGGCGAATTTTAATTTGCGGAGGTATTTTTCCTTCAACATTTTTACTTTAGTAGCAATCTTAGATGGATGCATAAATGTTAGTCATGTAAATTGACAAAAACCTACGTGCCAACTAATGTACATTTTGTTTAAATATTAAACAACTCACCTGCTATGCATACTGATATCTGGAGGAATTAAAATAGTATGTAAAATGTTTTAAGAGTTTAAATGCTGCCATATCAAAATGTTTCGGTCGATCAATTTCCACCAAAACATAGCTCCAAATAATTTTATTTTTCTTAAGTCTTAAGCGCCCGAAATCTGAAGAAAGGAGCAGTCATTTTTCTGAGCGTCATTATTTTTTAGGTCATTATTGGTAAAATAATTTGCATATTCTTACTGCATGGAATTTCAATAATTCAGAAAGGATGAATTTTAATTTCTGACATCATTTCTAAATTTTAGAAAAATTTAGGGCCAGATTCGTATTGAAATCGAACCTCGTTCTTTGAAATGTTGACTGCAGCCTATTTCAGTAAGCGGTCTTTGAAGCTGGAGTTAATTTGAACAAGATGAAAAAAAATATGTTTGACATTATAAAATCATAATGTCATAAAGAACAATACATAACCTAATCCCAGATACATAGATTTAGCTGCCCTTCATCTGAAATGTTAATAATAATATTAAATTCATTTCAGAATAAACTTACCATTTTTTTTTTTTTTTAGAATATTGAATTACAAATACATGTATACACACAACAGTCAAAATAACGCTACAAGTTTAAATTATAATCTTCAGTAAAGGATATTTTGTCCAGTATATTGATAGTAAAAATTAATCGACCCCACTGGGTTTAGAAGACTGCAAATGAATACATAGCTTTACAACAAAAGACAATTGATTACACGTAGACTAGTGTCATTACATCTATATCCGGTTAATGGAGTCAGACAGTCAGTTGCTTTGATGATCCCGCGTTCTCTTAGATGTCACCTGTATTTCACTGTGTTCTTTTTAATTAAATTTCATTTAAAGACAGTTATTCTGTAAAAAGAAAAGAATTGGATCGAAAACAAAATTGAATACATTTTTATACAGGTATAATTCTTAATTAGCTATATTTTTGATCTTATCACAAAGGCGGGACGAGTGCAGAAATGTGAAAAGACAAGTACTTTTGGGATTTTCAATAAGTTAGACAATTTTTTTTTACACAATAACATTGATGTGACATTCACATTTTTTCTCTACTGTAACCAAAAGTACAATTTTTTATTACATTTTCAAGAATGAAATATAAATATTATTTATGATAAAATATAATCGTATTTAATTATTTTATCCCATTATTTGATTATGAAATTCAATTAAAAAGATAAGGATAACGAAGTGCCAGCAATATAAAAAGATCATCAAAGAGTACAAATCTGTAAAAAGGGCATGATAACGGACCCTCGAAAACACCGAAGGTTGGAGCAGGTGTCGTAGAGGAGTAAGCATCCCCTGTTGGCCACTCTGTATTTATCAAGATTTACATTACAAAGGCATGGTATGAAATAAGTCAACAAAAATACGACTCAAGAATAGGGTGCTAACAAATTTACATGTGTATTAAAACGACCGTAAGGTTTACGGAATGCCGACTTTAAACAAGATTGTTGCAATCTCTGTAACATCAATTTATCTGTGAGAAGCGTGCTTTGGTTTAAGAACTATTTATACTCAGAGCATGTTCTGGCATATACAGGTGATAACGGATGTTATTGAATTTTGGAAAAGAAAGTTATTTTTAAAAGTTCTTCGTAATGTTTGAGAAATCATAACTGATTAACACAACTTCTAGAATATGCTGTTGTTCGCGTCTGAACGTCTGAAGTTTCTCCTTTGCAAAATTTAATATTTTGATAATGAATATAAGCAGATAAGATCGAGGATTTGCTGGACCGCGCAATAAAAAAACCTTCATTACTTTTCTGTTTATGATGAAAAGAAAGCATAAATACTTCGATAAGAATCCGTAATTCAGCAATTAACATCCTTTGGAGGTACTGTATGCTTTTATCGATGTTTTTAAGAATGAATTATAAGTTTGTGTTTTATTGCTTTACGAGTTACAATATCACGAGTTCGTTAAATTTTCATACCATTACCGTGTTTGTCTGATGCCATTAAAATTCAGAGTACTTTAGTCCAAATATGAGAAAATGGTTTAATGTACATTTTGGTGTATATTTGAGATGTTTCATAATTAGACATACAAGAAAATGATGGATGCTAAATTATTTAAAATCCATACTTGTACTCAGCGTAATAGTTATCCATTTTAAAGATTGAACTGATAATCATTGATTATAAGGTAAATTAATGACTTTCGACTCGCAATTCAGATACATCGGCAAAAATTAATTAATTAACAATAGTTACTATCAGTTATATGTCGACTCGATATTTCTCACAGAACTTGAAATAAAAGATTGCTGTAGAGTCTGACACATCTGGCTTACAATTATATTTTACTGGGAAATAATGTCAATGTTAACATAACATAACAAACATTGAAATAATCACGCGGTGACTTAAATTTTGTAATCGTCAACTTCCCTCACTGGTGTACAAAAAACCATTATCAACATGCATGGGGTTATGCCGCTAGTTGATTCTATAAGCAAGAGCACGCTCTACGTACAGTGTAAGAACAGTTTCTGAAGCGAGGTAATCTACTGACAAACAAATTGATGAAATGCGGATATCAACAGTCTTGTTTAGAAACATTTCGCTAGTTTTATGTTTGATACAATGACCCTATCAGGAAATGGAACTTCTTGCTAAATCTAATGCTGAATGATGTTTTTTTACACTAATTGTTGAACCAACGTTTCCACACTGAATTATCTTCGTTTTTTTTTTGTTTGTTTTCCCGGTCATGACAAGGGTGACATCGGTGCTACTCCTCCATATAGCACCTGACCCTCTTCTGGTGAATCTGGAGGTGGGTGTTTAATATCCCGATTTGAATTGTTTCACTGGCATTTTAAGCTTGATATTTTTTTTCTTCATATTTCATATAATATAGCAATCTGTTTTTCTTTTTTGAATACATCAGTAAACATTGTCGCCATAGTTACCAAAATGCAATGATTAAATATAGTTTTTATACACCATTCTTTTTCTCGCCGAAGAACGGATATACGTTGTTAAGCTTGTTTCAAACGTGCTTACTTTTTTAGCCAACTTTTAAATACGGCCTTAATCTAAAATATATAATTGTACATTTTTAAAAATCGTCTATGGTTCATGTCAAGATTAAACTCTTCTGATTATTATAAGTTCAAACTAGTGGAGCTACTGTGTCATCAGAAATTTCTAGTAAAAATTATGTGTCAAAAAGTGAATAATTGCAAAGTAGTGAACAATCTTTGATAAAGATTCACACGACTGCTTTTGTCCTCATTCACATCTTTGCTTTACTGTGATCTCCACAACACTGCTGCTGGCTATTTCTGGTAACTAGGTAATTTTAATCCATTATACAGCAAATTATTTTGTCTTTTTTCTGATAAAACTTCATTTAACACAATCAACTGCCTAGAATTTATGAAAAAAAGTTCATACGTTTAATAACACGTATTTGATCTGTGACTATCAGTTGATTCTGCTTCAATGTAAAATAATAATAATAAAAAAGACAATATCAACCTCGAGATAAAAGTTCATTATCCAAGGAATTGCGACAAGCTATCATTATTAAACATAATATTTTCTAGGGTGTGAGAATGTTTGTGGTAAATATCTGTAGAGGGAGACACATCATGTACAAAATCTATATCAAACACTTTGTAAA